AGACACTTGTGTCTGAAATTATGACAAAGTTTTTTTGAATTTCAGCTGAATTTGTTGTAGTCCCCAATTCAAACACAAGGAAATGTCCCTGGTACTAAACAAGTAAAAAGTAAGGACACAGTCAACAGAAAAACTGCCTCATTAATAAATGTCTCCACTCTTAAATTTTCAAGTGAAGAGAAATAATGTCCAGTTACCAGAGCAGTAAGAGCCTACAAGGCCAAGTCACACAATAAACCACATTATTTAGGTCAAGAGTAAAATGATTAAACAAGGATGAATGCTGGTGATAATATTCAATACCTTTTATTGCTAGTTTGAGGAGCAATGACAGGAGCACTACTGAGCAAATCATATTTAAGAAAAAATGCTGACAGCTCATCAATTGATTTTCAATGAAAATACTAAAAAAATTAATAAAGAAGTTAAGCTGCTGAAATACAGTTTCACCAATTAGCTTAATGTCAGAGAATTCTAATTAGGCGTCTTGAGATTGTTATTTAGTGTTTAAGCCTTCAGAGTGCCAAATTCTCCTTTTCATACAAACTGGTTGCAAAATTAAAGACATTAGGCAGCCTTAATTACATTATCAGAACAGCTGGGATTAGGCAATCTCTGAAGTCAAGACGGCATTCTTTTGTCAGAGGGTGGAAATCCCTGGCTTTCCAGGGTGCTGGATTTTGGTGCCATTCCATATCTCACCCATACAAAGCAAGCTGCATTAGAAACAAAAAAATTGCAGACAAAGAATAGAGTAATGTGAGGCAAATAATGAACACATTACCGAAAAAGAAAAGGTAGGTGAAAAGATTAAGCCTGAAATCGGTAGGTTTTGCTAACACCTCTACTGGCGGCTGGCCTGCCAACCCTCTGGTGGCAGTAAGACTGAGGGAAAGCTCTGTGAACCAGCTGGGCCAGTGGAGACAACTCTGTTATCTAAAGCTGAAGCACATTTATACTCCCTCATCCCATGGGGTGTGAAATTAGCAGCTATTGTTTTTACACATTTTTGCCAACACAATGCCTTTTATGTCTTTACATTGTTTATAAAGCTATGTTTTCTTGCACATGGGAGCCCTCTTTTTAATTCTAATTTCTTAAGCAACAGGATAGTTTCTCATCACTCCCCTCCCCCAATTTCTTATTTCTCTAACCAACCAACATGTTTTTAATGGACTCATTTAACAGCATGATTTTTTCCCAACTAAAAATTAATAAAAATTGGGACTGTTAGTGGTGGACCACAAATCCTTTGCACAGTGGTCAATCTTAAATGTGGTAAAACAACTGACCTCCTAAGCATTAGCCTTTAGCCACACTGAGCTTTCCCACAGTCTAGAAACTAACTTCTCCCCAAACTGAAAACTGCTACACCTTCTCAATGTTAGCTTTTAATTTTAGCTGTGGTAGCATCTGTTGTATCATTTCAACTATCATCTCTCATCTGGAGCACTGCCATTGCCTCTCGGCCTGTTCACCTCCAACTCAGAGCTTTCCAAACAAAAGCTCAGATCATATCACTCTCCTGATTAAACCCTCCCCCCAATGGTATTCCACTCCATGTAAAAGTAAACCCAATTCCTTTCCATAGCCTGGGGGCTCTAGATAAAACAGCTTTTGCCTAGCTCTCCAATGTCATCTCACCCCATACCTCACTCACTCCTACCACCCTGACTGACTTTCAGTTCCTCAATTGCTCAGCTCAGTCTTGCCTTGGGAGATGTGCTCCAGCTTGAGTCTCTTTCTGGAATTCAATTCCCCAAGATTGGGTGAGACTCGCTTTTCTTCATTCAGATTTCAGCTGGACTATGTGAGGTCTTGGCTTAAAAATGTATCATTTTTTCAAGGAGATTTTCCCTGATGGTTTGACAACCACAACCTTTCTCCACCAACACCCCAACACTCAAGAAACAATCCCAATCCAAAATAGTAGTCATATAAATAGAAAAACATGACCTGTACTCAACAGAAGAGCTAATCACAAGACTGACCCCAAATGATGGAGATGATATAATTAGCAGCCAGTAAGTTTAAAAATTCAAGAATGTAAATAAAAGTATGGTTGTAATGGATGAATAAGTAATCTCAGAAACAGAAGCTATGAAAAAAAAAACAAATGAAATTTCTATAATTGAAAAATAAAATACCTAGACCAAAAAATTAACTAGACAAGCATAACAATCTATTAGAGATGACATAAAAGAGTGAACATGAAAACAGATCAACATAAGTCATACAATTTGAAGAAAAGAAAAACATTTAAAAGAACCTCTTTCAGAAAGTCCGACAATATAATTGGAGCCAAAAGGAAAGGATAGAGAATAGTACAAAAAAGATATCTGAATAAAGTCTGATATTTTCTCAAATTTGGTAAAATAAATAAATTTAAAGATTTAGATCTTAGTAAATCCTAAGCAGGATAACAATAGAATCACTCCAAGGTACTTTTTAAAAACCAAAGGAAGAAGAAGAAGACAGGTCCAAAGCAGATAGGTTTCTATTCTAGTTCTTTGATTTAAAGGAAGTCTGTGAGTGAAATGCTGAAACATGAAATTTCCAAGATTTTCAGACACTTACTGCCCTGTGAAAAGGATATACACTCTCAAAATAAGATAGTATTTGTCAACTAAGACTTAAAATGAAATTAGAGACATCCTCACTAACCTATTTCTTTTTTTTTTTCCTTTTTCTTTTATTATTCATATGTGCACACAAGGCTTGGTTCATTTCTCCCCCCTGCCCCCACCCCCTCCCTTAACACCCACTCCGCCCCCTCCCTCTCCCCCCCTCCTCAATACCCAGCAGAAACTATTTTGCCCTTATTTCTAATTTTGTTGTAGAGAGAGTATAAGCAATAACAGGAAGGGACAAGGGTTTTTGCTGGTTGAGATAAGGATAGCTATACAGGGCATTGACTCACATTGATTTCCTGTACGTGGGTATTACCTTCTAGGTTAATTCTTTTTGATCTAACCTTTTCTCTAGTATTGGCCTCAGTTGCTTTTAAGGTATCTGCTTTAGTTTCTCTGCGTTAAGGGCAACAAATGCTAGCTAGTTTTTCAGGTGTCTTACCTATCCTCACCCCTTCCTTGTATGCTAAAGCTTTTATCATGTGCTCATAGTCCAACCCCATTGTTGTGTTTGCCCTTGATCTAATGTCCACATATGAGGGAGAACATACGATTTTTGGTCTTTTGGGCCAGGCTAACCTCACTCAGAATGATGTTCTCCAATTCCATCCATTTACCAGCGAATGATAACATTTCGTTCTTCTTCATGGCTGCATAAAATTCCATTGTGTATAGATACCACATTTTCTTAATCCATTCGTCAGTGCTGGGGCATCTTGGCTGTTTCCATAACTTGGCTATTGTGAATAGTGCCGCAATAAACATGGATGTGCAGGTGCCTCTGGAGTAACAGTCTTTTGGGTATATCCCCAAGAGTGGTATTGCTGGATCAAATGGTAGATCGATGTCTAGCTTTTTAAGTAGCCTCCAAATTTTTTCCAGAGTGGTTGTACTAGTCTACATTCCCACCAACAGTGTAAGAGGTTCCTTTTTCCCTGCATCCTCGCCAACACCTGTTGTTGGTGGTGTTGCTGATGATGGCTATTCTAACAGGGGTGAGGTGGAATCTTAGCGTGGTTTTAATTTGCATTTCCTTTATTGCTAGAGATGGTGAGCATTTTTTCATGTGTTTTTTTGGCCATTTGAATTTCTTCTTTTGAGAAAGTTCTGTTTAGTTCACTTGCCCATTTCTTTATTGGTTCATTAGTTTTGGGAGAATTTAGTTTTTTAAGTTCCCTATATATTCTGGTTATCAGTCCTTTGTCTGATGTATAGTTGGCAAATATTTTCTCCCACTCTGTGGGTGTTCTCTTCAGTTTAGAGACCATTTCTTTTGATGAACAGAAGCTTTTTAGCTTTATGAGGTCCCATTTATCTATGCTATCTCTTAGTTGCTGTGCTGCTGGGGTTTCGTTGAGAAAGTTCTTACCTATACCTACTAACTCCAGAGTATTTCCTACTCTTTCTTGTATCAACTTAAGAGTTTGGGGTCTGATATTAAGATCCTTGATCCATTTTGAGTTAATCTTGGTATAGGATGATATACACGGATCTAGTTTCAGTTTTTTGCAGACTGCTAACCAGTTTTCCCAGCAGTTTTTGTTGAAGAGGCTGCTATTTCTCCATCGTATATTTTTAGCTCCTTTGTCAAAGATAAGTTGCTCATAGTTGTGTGGCTTCATATCTGGGTCCTCTATTCTGTTCCACTGGTATTCATGTCTGTTTCTGTGCCAGTACCATGCTGTTTTTGTCTTTATTGCTTTGTAATATAGTTTGAAGTCAGGTATTGTGATACCTCCTGCATTGTTCTTTTGACTGAGTATTGCCTTGGCCATTCGTGGCCTCTTGTGTTTCCATAAAAATTTAACAGTAGATTTTTCAATCTCTTTAATGAATGTCATTGGAATTTTGATGGGAATTGCATTAAACATGTAGATTACTTTTGGGAGTATAGACATTTTTACTATGTTGATTCTACTCACTAACCTATTTCTATTACGTCTCCAAAAGAGTTAAGAGATGGTTTACTTGTTGATTCTCTCTGCCACTAGACTACAAGGACAAGGGGACCTTGGTCTTCTCCCCTCCCCCGCCCCAGATTAAATAAGTATTTGTTAATTGAATAGTGACATTACTTAAAATCATATTTTACTTCCAACATTACAAGCAGTGAGGGCAACACATCTCAACAAAAGATAAGACATAGGTAACATACTACCAGCATATTTAAAAAATTATCTTTCATAAAGATATTCTTAAATTGAAGACACAGTAAATCCATGTGTGAAAAGTTTATACTTCAAACGATATGCAACCCATAGTCCATTAAAATGTTCTGTTCCTATCTAAAAATGAATACCAAACTAATTCTGATGACTGAAAATAAGATCACATTATTTAATTAATTGTCACATAAAACAATTAAATCACCTGTCCTGCCAATTCCAACCTCTTGTTACCGTAATAATCTCTGTCATCAACTTTATTATCTCCTTGGGCCAGAATTACTCTTCGCACCATCACGGCTGTATAGATACATTTAGCTCGGAAATTGAATTCCTTAACCTGTAATTCAGAAATTAGAGAAAAATTTTGAGACAAGGCACACTAAAATTTAAGGTGCCTCAAGAAAAGAACCAATGTTAAACATTTAATAAGAAAGCACTGACTTACCATACTTCCTAGTTAAAAAAAAAAAAAAAATTACCTAGTCTGTAAACTGCCTGAGGTGAAATGACTTTTCAACTCTGTACTCAGCACCAACTTTTCTTTGAAGATGAGTACTACAGTCCCTTCCTTTCCCATACACTTCATGCCACTCCTTCCTTCACTAACAGTGGAGTCCATCTGTTCCTTTGAACTGGCCTATGATGAGTCTGACCAAGAAAATAAAGAAATGATGATAAGCCAACTCTAGGTCTACCCTTAAGCAAACTCTTACTTCTACTTCTTTTCTTTTAGAGTCCTGGGACACCATATGGGAAATCCAGGACACTATGTGGTGGGGAGAGAGGCTGCAATATGAGTGAGAAACCCATCTTGGACAGCAGGTCAGCTGAGTGAACACTGTCCTAAACTATTCTGTAAACTGAAGGTCTTTTTCCTGGTTCATTCATTCTGACTTTACTCTTCACTGGATTATGTACAACCAAATTTTAAAAATGGTAATTCAGGTTAACTACAAAAGTACAAGGGATAATCTTTACAAAGATAATTCAACAAACATCTGTACAACTAGCATTCTATCATTAAGGTGCTTTCGTTATCCAAAAAGTTTTCTGCAGTTATAGTATGAAGGTAGTGAGGTTCCTAACAGAGACCATGGCCTTGGGGATAGCTGGGGAAAATGCAGAGATTTTTGCATGTACCGTATCCCTGAGTCATCACAAGAGTCCTGAAATGAAGTATTATTGCTTTCATTATACTGATGAGAACAGTTAAAATTTGCCCGAAGAAAATCAGTTAGCTAAATAAGAAACCAAGATTTGAACAATGATGTCTCTGGCTCCAAAGCCCTCATTGTTTCTACTATTTTGGCTATTTTGAGTTTCAAATCATCTTTCCAATCATCCAATGAACTCAAAGTTCAGTTCAGACCTAGCTTTAAAATAAGAACATTCTAATTCTTTGTATTAGATCAAGGACACACAAACAGCAGCCAAAGAGCAGAAATGAGACCTATGTTCTTAGCTCACTAGGTGTTTTAACATAAGAAAATTGAATCTGAGTCCATCAGTAAGCCACGCTCCACTCTCACAGATGCCTCGACCTTCCATTATTTCACAGTCAGCCCCTAAAGGGACAGTTTATAACCTTTGAATTAGATCATTCAGGAATGGCACACATGGTAACTCTAATTTAGAAAGAGCAGCACATATATTAAGTGGGAAAAGGCATGACTCTTGCCAACACCCCATATGCTAACAAGGCTGATGTGTGTTTAACAGAGAGATCCATGTTAATAGAAAATACATATTATGCATCAGTTCATGGATCAGAAGATTGACTCTAGTTCTTTTTCTAACCACTAATTAGCCAGGTGACAGGGCAAATCATCCAGCTTGATTGAATGAGAGAGCCTTCACTGTAAGTAATAGGCTGAACAATGTGAACTCTAAAAGATGAACTCATCCACTAAGCATTTTAAAAAGTATATATTGTACTGTTATCTATTGTACTAATAGCCATGCAATAGTTGTGAGTGTACTCCATGTCAGAGAACTGCAAACTTAACATGGTAAACTTATATATATTTTGCCACAATAAATAAAAGCATATGAAAAAAGATACTGTAAGCTTATCTTACTCATTTACTTTTGGTGGGGCTGGGGTTTGAACTCGGGGCCTTATGCTTGCAAAACAGACACTTTACCACTTGAGCCACACCTCCAGTCCATTTTGCTCTGGTTGTTTTGGAGAAGGGAGCTTGCAAACTATTTGCCTGGGCTGGCCTTGAACTGCAATCCTCCTGACTCAGCCTCCCAAGTAGTTAGGATTACAGGCTTGAGCTACCAGCACTTTGCTGCTTGTTTTACATGGAAAACTTTAAGGTACCAGCTCTGTCCTTTGAAACCATGAAATCTAGTAGCAGCAGCAATATAGGTATGAATATGAAGTAACTGTAAGACTGAAAACATCATGACAGAATAAATATCATGATAACGATACAGTTAACAGTCTGAACACAATCTGCGATGACAGAAGATTATTTCCAGTGAGTAGTGTAGTCCTCTTTAGAAACCTCTCTTAAGGACAGACTTTAGGCATGCACACTATTATTCACAATTCTTTGCAGAAATTCAGATTCCATAATCATTCACAGCTGTGAAAGTGTTACTCACCGGTACATGGGTCAGAATGGTAGAAGCCAGGAGCTCTCTTGCCTCTTCTATTTTGGTTTTCTTTGGTCCACCTCCCCACATCCTTTGCCTTCTTACTTTATTGCCTATATATTTTAATGCCTACAAAAAAAAAAAAAAGGTAATAGTGTTTGAATGACATCACTGGAAATCACTTACTAAGCACCTACGCATACATATATTGTAAGCAAAAAAGATAAGGACCCTGATTACAGAGAAAGCTACATTAGGGCAGTCAAAAAATCAAATTTATCATGAATCAGTGACAAAATAATTATAGCACATTGCCTAATCCACTGGTTCCCTTTTTATTTTTAAAACTATTTTCTTCCTATGCAATTGATACATGATCATTGCAGAAAAATTTAAAAATACATGTGTGTATATAAAGGAGCCATCAGTCCTTCACTCAGAGTAACACCATGGGATGGTACTTTTTTCCCTGTCAAAAAGAAATCACACCATGTAAGACCCTTACACTGAAAGCTTCAAAACAATGCTGGGAGAAAAACAAAATCCAAATAAATTGGGGGTTATGGTATTTTCATGGATTGGATGATTAATATTCCATATTAATAAACTCCTAACTGGTAATTAAAACCTGGCTTTTGTAAACCAAGCTTACAGAAGTTCTAGATTCTATCATTTACATAGTAATAGGTAACACGATACTGATAGAAAGTTGGGGTACTTACATTACCTGATTTCAACTATAAAGCTACAGAAACCAAAACAGAGTATTGCTGGCATAAGGACAAAGAGAAGAGAGTAAGAAATCTAGAAATAAACCCATAATATATAATCGGTTGATTTTTTGACAAAGTACCAACCAATGAAGAAGAAAATGTCTTTTCAACAAACAATTGTGAAACAACTAAGTATCCAAAAGCAAAAGTATTAACCTTGATGTCTACTTCAGACCAAATGGAAAAGCCAGTTTACAATGGATCTTAGACCTGACATGAACACCAAACTGTAGGACTTTTCTAGGAAACAAAGAATATATTCTTGACCTCAGGGAAGGCAAAGATTTCTTTAATCAGGATATAGAAAGCAATAACCATAAAAGACAAATAAAAAGCTTCTTGGAAATTTGTTTCTTTCTTTTTTTTCAAAATCAAACAACAGTGAAGAAAAAGAATAGGAAAGCACTGAAACGGGAAAAAATATATGCAATACATAAATCTGACAAGGAATTTATATCACAAATTTGTTTTTAAAAGGATTGAAATTCATTAACAAAAAGACAACTCAGTAAGGAAAATGAACGAGTAACTGATACATTTGCAAAGCAAAAGTGTTCAACACCATTCATCATCAGAGAAATGAAGATCAAAATGCCCACCCACTAAAAGGGCTGAAAGCACAAAGTCTGATAAACCAAACACTGCCAAGAACAGGAGCAGTCCAGTCTCTTCTGCAGTGCTGGTAGGAATGGAAAACCATACAACCATTTTGGAAAAAGGATTGGAAAGTTATATATACAATTGTTTCTAATGTAGCAGTTCGACTCCTAAGTACCCAAAAAAAGGGGAAAATGTGCATACAAACATCTGTTTTTAACAGGTCTTTACTTATATCCAAAGACTTTAAAAAAAAAAAAGAAACTAAATGAATATTGATAGGAAAATGAAAAGCTGTGGTATATTACATGCAATGGAATATTACTCAGCAATAAAAAAGGAATGAACTACTTGTATAAATGGTATTAAAGGGAATAAAAAAAGAACTTGGATGAATCTCAATGTGCTCTACAAAAGAAGCTAGACATAAAAGAGTACAGACTGATTAATTCCATATATTAAGCTCACTAATTCATGATGAAAATACCAGCACACTGGGAAAAAAATCAGAGTGCAGGAGACATAAGGAAATTTTATGGGATAATGGAAATATATGCCTTGTAAAAGGCATCTTATGCAGTTAAGATCTGTATATTTCAACACACACAAGCTACTTTTTAAAAAAGGACAGCTGAAAAACTGAAGTAGCATGTTTTATTCTGCGGGTGAGAGTGGTAGGAACACACACATCCAAGTGCTGATAACTGGCGAAGCTGGGTGATGGGTGCATGAAGGCTCACTGATCTATTCTACAAACTTTGTATTTGTTGGAGCTTTCTCATAATAAAAAGTTTAAAGAAGATCATGTGGTTCTTGTTATTTTGTTAACAACAACAACATACTTTTTAGAACCTTGCTTTCAGTTCCTCAGAAAAAAAGGGTTGGTATCCCTGATTCTTTACCCCAGAAATGACACCCCAATTAACCTCCTCAGGAAATTCCTTTGTCCTGCTTCAAAACCTAGATGGGCTATCACTTCCTCTCTGAAGCTTTTACTAACCCTGCCCCTCCTTCCCTGCTGTTTGAATTGGTTGTGCATCAAGAATTGAGCACCTTAATTAGTGCTGACATCATGCTACATTTTATTACCTACTAACATCGTGTTTCTTGTCTTTGAAGGAGGGGACTTTGACATTTTTCTCTTTGACACTCAATGCCTAGTACAGTGCCCAAAATGAACAGAACTGCCTCTCCTGTGATAAGATTTGGACATCAAATCTAGGTCTTCCTGTTAAACATGAGAAGAACTAAGATCCTGGAGATACTTGCTGCAATGACAGAGCACTGGTTACTAGTAACCAAGTAACTGATTAAAGCAAATCAGCACAGTTGGTAGGAACCATGAGCAAACAGGCAGGTTGATTTTTCCTAAACTGGGCTGTCTTCATTAAATTATTGCCTTCTAATTCCCTTGGGAAAGGCTGAAGATTGTTCACCTCTTTGAGGAAGAAACAGAGGGACGCAGAGAAGGTTTTTCCTGGTGGTGCAGCATAAAGTCAACCTTTCCCCTGGAACACCTAGTAATGCTGCCAGAGTCTCATAGTCTGAGGGCTGCAATGAGAGCCCCGCCATTTCACAAATAGCCAAAATGACACCCCGGTACCCCTGTCCCAAAAGGCAGTAAGTAATTTCTTATCTATGCACTAGTCTTTGGCAATGATAATGGAAAACACACATGATAAACAGAGGGAAGGCTTCATGAATGAAGAAATGTGGACAGACTAGAACAGCAGGCAGAAGAAATCGAAATGTTATAACCAATCCATTAAAGTGCCACATCTTCCTAAATTCTGTTGCATTATACAGTGTACTTACTACATTTTCATTTAAAATAGCACAAAACATGTTTTCCTGATATTTGTTCAGTGCAGCAACCAAGTCTGCATTACTCATTCCTCTACACTCTCTTATTAGATGCAAAGAAGTAATCCATGTATAGATGGTGACAAGACTTTCCATGTAGTGAGTGTACAGATGGAGTACAAGCACTTTCAAAGTTATACTTTCTGTTCAGGGAAACAACTTTTATCTTTCTTACGTTAACAATTATATCTTCCCGCTGTATTTCACTGACCTGATCTAAGTCAGCTAGCTAAAAATCTTTTGACAGTGCCTATTTAAATAAATGTATGAATTTCTAACCCACTCTGTAGTCCTTACTCAAACAGCTTTACAATACTTAGGGTTACTTAACCAACAATGGTGACGTCTGTAGTAAAATGCATAATGGACCTCATTAAAGTTATTGGGGTACCTAAATCGCTCCTCCAGGACACTACATAGCTTTAAAGAATGGTGCATCTCCAACAACTGAACCACCTGCACCTGTTCACAGGGTAGATCTTATATTTCCTACTTCCTGGATAATTCTTAATCATTCTTTTCATGTTCTTAGCTTTCTTAGACAATATTTCTTTAGTTTGTAACAAAAACTCTTATTTACCAAATATTTCATTTCCAGTAAAGGCCAAAACCAAACCTAATCCAAACTTTTCTTGATGTTTCTTGCTCAAACATAATAAACAACTATTAAGTGACTGTAGAAAAAGTTTTGTATTTTCAAATCATATAGACTCATATATGCTAATGAACCTTCCTAAATGTTTGGCTTAGTCTACAAAAAATATCAAGATTTGATTTTATAACACATACTAACAGTGGGAATGCTATCTCTACAGCATCCCAGGTGACAAGAGAAAAGCAGATTGTCTTGTGCTAAGAACCCACAGAATAATAATGTACACATGGACAAAAAAGAACAATCTATCGTGGATCTGTGGTAGGGAATTTCTCCCTCCCAGGATGGGTATAAGGAATGAACGTCACACTGACTTATACTTAGCCAAGCACTTTACGAATATGGGACTAAAAAATGCTAAGTATGGCTGCTAGGGCTCTCACACATGGGAAGAAAAGTATCATTACTCTTCTTATGTTTAATGTACACAGAGCTCCCTATTGTCATCTTTGTGTCTTGTCCTAAAATTCCCAGCTTCCAACCAGGACATGAGGAGGTCAGTGAAGACCTAGTGGTAAAAGGGACTATTTTGTAGCCTTTCTGGCAACCTGAAGTAAGTGGGCACTCAGGAAAGGGACAGACACCATATACAACTGGAGGCCCAGAGCAACTAGCAGTAGATAATGGAGAGATGTTAAGGATGGGGGATTAGGGTAGAGTGTTTGCTTAGCATGCATAGACCTGGGTTTGGCCCCCTACACCACAAAAAAAAAAAAAAAAAGAAAAGAGAGAGAGAAAACTAAATATTAAGGAGAAAAATGCATGAAAAATAAGTCAACCTACCCTCTACACTAGAATTGTTACATATTTTTTATTATGAGGAAAAAAAATAGTACTTGCCATTACATCAGAACAAAAGCCTCTTGGCCATACCTCCTGCTTCTAAATTAGACACCACAGGCTAGTCATTTGTCTAGGCAAAGTTCTTCCTCCATCCAAAAGAATGAGTCAAAGCTTCTCTACCACTCCTCCCACTCCGACACCTTTCCCAAATCTACCACCCAAACCCACTGCATCTGATGTCTTACTGATGAGCAAGATTAAGGCTCCCATTCCAATTCATAACCAAGGACATGATGAAAGGACACACCTGCATCTGTGTGAAAATCTGAGCTTTCTGGCACTCCTCCAGACTGGGCCCAAATGCAGCCATCACGTGCTCCTCTGTTCCAATCATCTGCACAATTTCCTGGTCACTCTCAACACCCATGGCCTAGGAAGGAAAGAAAAGACAGAAAGAGTGTTGGCTTTGTGTTCACTCACTGACATTTGCTTATGCTAATTTGGCATTGTTTGTGGGTATTACTTCTAAGCAAAAGCTAGGTCTTCTCTCAGAAACGGTGCCATCTGGCATTGGCAGCCTTAGCCTGAGCTGCAGAACCCAAAACAGAAAATTTGATTAGGATGAGGAAAACAGATACTCAAGCATTTTTCACGTTTATAACTTTTCTAAAATTTTTAAATATTCTAAGAGTTTCAACAAGAAAGGAGACCAGAAGGTATATCGGAGAGGACTGGTCACAATTACAAAGGCAAACTGAAAAAGAAAAGCAGCCAAAGGGTAGTGAATCATAAAACATCGAATGCTGAAAATGAGCAGAACCCCAAGTAATTCTGTCACAACATTAATTTTTCTGAGAATTGTCAAATTGTTCATATTCATGCTAAAAGAATTTTCCTAATTGATGTTTTACTTCTCTGGTCTAGAGACGTAAAGGCTTTATGCAGATTTTAAAAGAAATGTTTAAAAACTAAGAATACACTTAACAGGTTTAAGAAAACCCACTTAAGTGTTTCAAGGTGGCAGCGGCTGTGCAGGTCTTTGTAGATCCCAGATGGTCCTAAAGCTCACTCCTTCACACGTTTGTCTGGAACTGTGCCACGTTAAGAAACAGAGCATAATCCCTCTAAACCTCTGTTGGCACGGTAATAATCTGCTTCTTAGAAGTTAGGGGAAAAGTTATGTTTGCATTAAAATTCTTCCTTTAGTTTTGCAAAGACAGAACCAGGGGATAATTGTCCAGTCAAGCTCTCAGTTCTCCTTCACACAGGAGAGAGGGGGACTGCATTCCAGGTTCCAGTGCAGAGCATCAGGGGCATTACCCTCAGCATAACTGAAGGGCGCCCATCCACAAGACATGGTGTCTGAAGTATTCGTTCTCACATGATGCCAGCCACAGATGCGGGCATCACACACGCCCTTCTCCTTGATGTGCAGCAAGATAGCTAGGGCATTTCTAGCTCAAGATTCTACCATTCTACAGCTGACCTTCAGTGTAAACTCACTGAACGTTCTGAAGATTTGGGGGAGGTTAAATAGATGATGTGTCCATTTGGGCTGACTGTGGTGGTCTTTAAAATGTTCACAAACTCTGACACTCCCCTGAAAAGGCGGGGACTAATTCCCCCCACCCTTGAGTGTAGGCTAAACGTAGTGACCTACTTCTATGAACAGGTGTAAGTGGCACATTATGACTCTGGAGGCTCGGTTATAAGAGCACTGTAACTTCCTGCTTGCTCTAGCTGCCCCATCATGAAGATACTCCAGCAGGCTAGGGGAGGGTCCAGCCTACAACGTGGGTAGAACTGTTAGGAAAGCAGTTCCCCAACTCTGGCTCAGTTTCAGGTGACTGTGCCAGGCTGACATCCTGACTTTGGAAAGACCTGAGTCACAGTCACCAAGCCCAGCACCCCTAAATTCCTGACCAACAGGAGTTGGGCAGTAACTTGTTACACAGCACAGATAACTAACAAAACAACTTCTGCAATCAAATTAATTATTTGAACCTAATGGTTTTTTCTTTTGGTTTTTTGAGACAAGGTCTTGCTATGTATATAGCCCGGGCTACCCTGGAACTCCTGCCTCAGCCTTCCAATTGCTGGTATCATTAGGTTTGTTCAAACATTTTTTTGTTCTTCAATAAAGAAATTCTCAGGACACAAATCTCCTTTTTTGATACTTCTACCTCTAATTTGATATGAAATATTTATTCAAATGGATACTGGAAATAAACTCTACCATTTAAAAAATGACACAAATTTATGAAAATACTCAGCCTTTCATGGATTAAAGAATAGCAATTTTTAAAAAATGACCAGATTCTCTTAGTTCAGGCACATTCAGTAGCATTGGCTCTTATGTGGGGAGACATATATAAAACCATCTACAGCCTCTCCTCAGCCACAAGTACCCAATCAAAATACCAGAAGACTCTTTCTCTGTGAAAAGCTAATTAGAGACCAACTTAATTTTGTCAACTTCTAAAAAATTGTTATATGGGTTTCAATGGAATCAAAATAGAAGAAAAAAATAAATAAACGAAGGCAACTAGTTTGCAGTGGAATCCAACTCTGCATCTTTAAACTTGCCTATGAAATTTTTAACCAGGGCACTTCATGTCTAAGCAAAGAGCCCAAATACTAATGGAGACCTACAGGCCAAGCATGAGGAATGACAGAGCACGCAATCAAAGATGGCAGCAGTGTTCTGGATGAACCCTTCCTTTAGGCATGTTAGCATCTAAATCATGTGAGTCAAAGGTTATTTTAGTAATTTTTATTTCAGTAATCCCCAAGTGAAAAAGACTTCAAACTCAACTGCCTTACTTGACATGTAGATTGCCACTTTAAATTGTCCTGATACTAAATCTGAGTAGCGATGTTTAAATTGTGCAACGTTCTAAACGGACCGATTAGGTCCTCCAAATATGTTTAAATTGTGAAACAAAGACATGCCAAGCACACTGTAAGTGACGCCATGTGTGCAGAAAGCATGAACACCTCCAAAGCTTTTCAGCAAAGGGACTAAACTCTACATCAAGTCACTGAAATACAGCAGCCATAACTCAGTCAAGTTATCATCAAAAGAGCTCCAGTTCCAAAGACTGAAATGACTTTATGACTACTTAGCCTTCAGTAGTCACAGCTACAAATAAATGACATATTGCTATGGAAACGAACAAAATGCCCAACCATTTTGCTTTAGACATAATTTAGACATCTGAAAACTAGCTTTACATGGAACTCTTTGTAGTCCAGATATCTGAAATCATTCCCACTAACACGTCAAAAGTGAAAGCTACATAATAACCTTATAAAAAATAGCAGATAGAATATGTTTTGGCAGAAGGTCACTAGCAGTCTGGCAAGCAGCAACAAGGCTGAACAAAACCAAGGAAGGTGCTCTTTAAAAAGTGGCCTGCAGTCTTCTTGGATGTCCAGGGTGACTTTTAAAGACAGAAAAAAAGGAATCGTATCAGTGAGCAGACGAGAATGATTTGCACACTAATGGTGATATGCTGAAATACATTGTGTGACGGTCACAAGGGGGATAACTTCTTAAAATGTCTAACTCAGAAACCTCTGTTTTTTCTTTAAAGCAACATGCATCTATTACTAACAGCAGTCCTAGCTGATAATAATGGAATTGGGATGACTCTAACTCTGTAATTGTTTCTAACAATAAAAAAAATTCCTAAATAAGCTGGTTTTCTAGAAACAAGGCCCAGCTCCCCAGAAACTGTATCCTCTTTTCCACAAAATCTTTCTGCTACAGGTGCCATCACAGTGTAAGTGCCCAATGCCTGGGAATACAAAGTGGGAAGTGGGGAAGATTCATGGGCAAGAGAACCTCTGTGGTGATTCAAGTCCATAAATAAGGCTGATCTAGGTCTTAAAAGCTTTCATATTCAGGCTCAGCATGGAATCTGGAAACCCTGCTGCTTCTGTCACATTTAGCCAATTGTTGGTTATAATCAACAACCATGAAGTCCTAATGACTGTCAAGGTCTGTATTAGGGCCACACAACACAGAAAGAGAAATGATGTGCCTTTCCTGGCATCCCAGTTTCTTTTCCCCAGCTTCTGACAATGTAAGTGGGGAGGGAGAGCTAAGGAAAGAGAAAGGGTGTCCCCTTTAAGGGCATTCTTCTTTAAAAAAACAAACAAACAAAAAACCCATGATCTCATTTGTGCTTCACAACAGTCCTGGGTGTTTTCCCTTTTAGAGATGAGTTATCCAGGACTGAAAGAGATTGGGAAATCTGCCTAAGGTCACATAGCTAGTAAATAGAGAAGCTGGGATTTAACCTAATTCTGTCTGATTCTAAGATATCCAATGCTCTATGCTGCCTCCAAGCTGGAAAAGTCTTAATAGTGGTTATCAAACAAGTTCTCATCAGTTTACTGAAACATCCCTCAAGTGCAAGGCCAAAGAAGTGATTATGTAGGACCAAAATATTTAGTTCATTACTATGAGCTAAATTTTTCAAATGTTTACCTTAACTTTTACACACTACTGATTAGATTAACATATACACTCCTGGAAAAACTTGGCAATATGTATGAAGGGTTTTTTTTTATTAAAAAAAGATACACTTCTCTCAGGACTAAAGTCTCACAAAATATCAGCAATCTGCACAAACATTTATATGTAAGGACAGCTCACAGGGTTGTATATAACAGTGAAAACACTTAGATAAAATAAATGATACCTAAATGTCGCACTATAGGAAACTGGTGAAATAAATTATGCATACCACATGTGTGCAACTTCAAATAAAATTGCAGTGTATGTTACAAAAACCACAAGGACTGGAAAAATATATCAAAGAGCTATACTTTTCAATGGCTTTCTGAATTTTCACAATACAAGAACTATTTTGTAATCAAAAGGGAAAAAGTTTAACAGAAAAAGAAACAAAAAAAAGAAAAAAGGGAAAAATTTGAAATCTCAACTACTGATTACATATGTATGCAGACTGCTAATATATAACCCCATTCTAAAAAGATTTGTCAGCTACACATATATGTATATAGTTACAACACAAATACTAAACAAATTTGACAAAGAAACTGTTCTATTAAACCTTTGTCACCTAGTCAAAAAAAGGAGTACTTAAAACTTTTCAGATTTTTATGCATTCATGCATCTCATTATACATTTTATACATGAATGGTAAAAGATTACATGCATTGCAATTAATTAAGATTTCTGTTCTAAAGAAAGCATCGTCAAGTGTCTAAAATTTTCAAAAAGTCCTTTGGTACATGGAAACATACTGCCCTCTGCTGGAGATGTAATTCTACATCCGTAGGTAAGATTTTATCACTATGCACACAAAACACTTATGTTGGGTTGTGAGATGCCCACCACAAAAGCCAACATTCCTCCTATGCTTAAAAAATACAAGCCTCAAAGAAAGGAAATAAGAAGTTATCTGTAGTTAAAGAATTCTCTCCGGACCCCTGATATAATGGTTCTGGTGTTGTGATTATCACTGTCATCCTGAAAGAAAATAAATGGCTCCATCCACAGTTGCCTTCCATTCACAGAACTCAGAAGTACATTAAGATATACTAAACATAGAAAATGTTCCCTAGAATACGGGTATTTCCCAAGTTAAAGAACCTGCCTTTTCAACATCTACTGAATTCCTATGAACAACTGAGGGTGTGCTCCCTGGTCCCAACCACCAGCATGACTTGGAAGAGCCTGGCTTCCTCCCTGACTCTCATGCTCTTTCATCTGGTGATACCTTTAACAGGAGAGGCTCAATCCTTTCTTTACTACTCCTTTGGGGATTATACTCAAATGCCAGATTTGTTAATCCCCCTCCTCCAAGATATCTTCCTGTCATTTGCTACTGTGACCCAAAAGATAATTCTACTAACAACTGCTAAACAGAAATACTTAGTTCAAAAGTGAAACTGAATGATAACCAATGAAAATTATCTGACGTATTCAGTATCTCTTCAAATATTCTGAACTCTTTACTTCAATTAAACTAGTCATTAAGATTTATTTAACACCTATATACAGTTAAATCATTACTCATGGCAGTTACATTGATAAAGCTGCTGAATTACATTTAATTAGCAAACACTGAACCACTGCTCCAAGGTTACATTCTTACAAGTCTATAGTCACATTTTTCTCAACTGATCAATACAGAACCTCTATTTATGTGTACTTTTGTTTAAAAACACATTTATTTGGTACAGGCATGGTGGTGCATGTCTGTAATCCCAGCTACTCAAGAGGCAGAGATAGCAGGATTTGGGTTTGAGGCCAGTCTCTACAAAAAGTTAATGAGAACCTATCTCAAAAACAAGCTGGGCTTGATGAAGGACACCTGAAATCCTACCTACTCAGGAGGCAGAGGTAGGAGGATTATGTCTAGGCCAGCTGGGGCAAAGTCAGCATAAGATCCTATATAAAAAATAAAATAAAAGCAAAGGCCCGGTGGTGTACCTCAAATAGTAGAGTGCTTGCCTACAAGCCCAAAGCCCTGAGTTCAACTCGCAGGAGCACCCCAAAATACCCAAAAACCCCACCACCTTATTTAGAGCCAGGTAATTCCAGCACATGGGAGGTTGAGGCAGGAGGATGGCAAGTTCAAGGCCAGCTTGGGCTACACAGCAAGACCCTATGTCAAAAAAATCAAACCAAGCAAAAGCAACAACAAAAGTTGAATCCACAGCCCAAACTACTTAATTTATTCCTGAATAATGTTAAACACATCTATTTTCCCCACTGGGCACATTATCGTCTTCTTGGACTTAAGAACAGTAGACACTGCTTCAGTGTGACACTCAAGAATCACCTTATTCAGCTAAACCACTAACAAAAGTACCAAAAATATGGCACAAAATATACTCAAAAATGAGCGAAAAAAGATGCATCTTGTGCATCAGGGAACCCATGTCTTCTGCTGCTCTGTGTTTCATTGGATAACCACAAAAACACAACAAGCATTTATGACAAGCATTTATTTGGAACATATGAATAAATTTCAGCAAATAGGTTAATTCACAAATATGGAATTCATGAACGCTGAGGATCAAATGTATCACATAATCAACTTTTTTTTGTTTTATTTAATGACTAATACTATAATTTAGGTGTTTGTAGAATGTGTATTATATTAATATTTCAGAACAAGTTAAATGAGCCACTATGTACTATTTGAGCAAATTATACCTATAAACATTACTTCTGTAGTGGAGGGGGCACTGTTTTCTCGCTCCCTCCCTTGTTAGAGCAAGCTTTCTCTCATTTCTGGTTATTATTGAACCTAACTGGGGCTAACTGGGGGCAACTGGAGATTCAAAAAAGACACAGGATAAACAGACAGACAGAAAGTGGGGTCAGGTGTGTTGAGTGCTTGGGTGGAGATGCCCAACCCTAATGATTCTTTTCTCTATCTTTATTCTTTAAGGCCTTACTCCTTTACAGTTCTTTAAAACCTTGCTTCAAACCTCTTTCCTTAGGCTCGCACTGTCCCATGTTTGCTCTTAGCTTATCTTTAGCTTAATCGCTCTTAAACTCTTTTGTGCTCAGGCTTGCACTGTTCCATCTCTCTTTAGCTTTCTTAAAGCCTAGGTGCTCAGACTTGTGAACAACAGCACCTGACAAACTACATATGCATAACTCTTAAATTCTCGGTCCTTAGACTTGCACTGTAAACTTCTTTCTTCGGCTTTTCTTTAGCTTAGCTTTTCTAAGGCCTATGTATAAAGTTCTTTCTGAAGCTTAGCTTTTCTAAAGCCTATGTTAAAGTTCTTGGTGCAGACTTTCTATCAACACATCTTTAGCCATTCTTTTCCCTTCAGCAATCCCTTTAGTAATTCTTTTCCCTTCCAAAAACTTCCCACACCAAAAAGCCAAAAGCCAAAGCCCAAGAAAGCAAAAGCCCAAAGTAAAAGTCAAAGACAAAAAGCCCCTCTTCCTCCTTCAGGGGTCTTTTATAAACAACTGTAGACAGGATAGAGCTGTAGCTCGCAGGGAGGGGCGTGACATTGTAACAGGAGAAACCTGTGTTCCTGCTTCTCCGAACACAAGCAACTTAGGAGGAGAAACAGCTGTTCTGCTTCCAGGGCTGTGCCAATCTTGGAAAAGCAGGTGAGCCGCATCTTGCCTTGCTTGTGCCCAGTTCTCATAGGCTTTCCATAATCCTCTCTCCAAAGTATAAGTGTGGAGAAGTGTCAGCTGGGTTCTAAGCCAACAATTCACAGACCAGCTTTTAAAAAAATCATTTGTAGAATGATGATTTGTGTTTACATGGAACTTAAAAGTCCACACTCTGACCTAGAAAATTCTATTAGGAATTTATCCTACAGGTGTCCTTGCCCCTGTGTGACACATTACAGCAGTTCTGCAATAGCAAGAGATGTACATGTCCACTGTCTGGGAATTTGTTAAATAAATTATGGCACATCCACGTACCCATAAAAGGAACAATTTGTCAAAAAGAATACAGTTGGGGCTGGGATGTGGCTCAATGGTAGGATACATGCCTAGCAAGTAAGGCCCTGAGTTCCATCCCCAGCACCACAGGGGGAGAAAAAGAGAATATAATAGGTCTGCCTGTTCTAATGTAACACTACCTCCAAGGTGTAAGTTACAAAAAAAAAAAAAAAAAAAAAAAAAAATGGAGTTATGCACAAAAGTACATGCACTGTATGTAAGTACCAGACAAAACAGATACATTCATATCCCTGTATGTTTAAAATTATCTCTTGAAAGACACACAAGCTAGTAACTGTGGAGTCCTGTGTGGAACTATGTAGAGGTTTTACTCATCACTTCAGACCCTTCTATACTTTGGGGTATGTACTTTCTAAGAAATAGAAACAAAATATATAAACTTCAGACTGTTAACTTTCAATTTAAAATATATTACATGACTGACAATTTATCTATGCCACGAACTTTTCTGTTCCTAGAGGTCCTGACCTTCCAAATTTCAAATTCTGTATGAAAATAAACCAGAGAAAGAACTCCTTCTGCAGCCTCACCTTGAATATGATGACGATGGGTATGTCTTCAGACAAAGTGTTATGCCTCAGATAAAATCGGCCTTGTTTAACAGCCATGTTGGTTCTACTTTTTTTCTCATGAGTAGAGCTAAAAGTAAACATAAATTGGTTAACAGCATCCTCACTTATTCACTTGCAGGAGTGATCATCAATCAGTGAGGTTCACTTGATGAACAATCAGTACAGTCCTTCCTAAAAAGTGCTTTTCAATGATATGCAAACTTCTTCCTGCCCTGCTGCCACCTCCACGAACATTTAAAAATACTGTAAGTTCTTTAGCTTTGAGATTATGGTGGAATTTTGTGGGTAAATGAGTGACAACCACCTTTTGACCTACTTCACTTTGATTCCACCTGAGTTGCATTGGTCAACTGTAGGGCATATATTCACGGCAGATTTTATGTACTCTTCTTAAAGAGAAAAACCTCAAAACAGCCTAAATCACTGTATGAAAAAAGCTGGGTTGTTAAAGTAATAATCCAAAAAAACTTCCCCATGGTCTTGGTACCAGTGAAACAAATGCTTAAGGAATCTCCTTTCGCTAGTTTCTCTATTAGTTAAAAATTCCTAATGGATTTAACAGCATTTTACAAGCTCTATTCAACCACAACAGTAACACATACTGATCGCCTGATATACTATGCAATGTTACTCACTTTGTATATACTAGATTTAATCGTCTACACAACGACAGATACTTAGAAGTGGTATCCCTAAATCATATACAAGGAAAGCAAGACTCATTCAGCTGAGTAACTGCCCACTCCATTGTCACAGACAGAAACAACAGCCTTGGGATTCAAATCCAGATGGCCTTGGGTTCCAAAACTGCATATAGTGGAATGCCATGGGTTGTAGAATTGTTATGTGTGGATTCAAATGTTGAGTACATCTTATAGTTAAGGTGACCCTGAGCTCAGCTCTAAAATGCAGAGAATACCACTTACCTTGAAGGACTGAGGTGACGATTAGTAAAATATATAAAGTACCTAAGACACTACCTGGCTCCCAGTAAGAGCTTAATAAATGGTCATTTTTATTAACTGCCTCTCCACCAGAGAGAAAATTGCAGAAACTCTGGGTTAATAGGTTCATCATAAGGTGTTAGAAGAAAAACTTTATTGTACACTGACATCTATGCAAGCAATCTATTTCTAGAACTCATTAACCTCTAAATTTCAAATTATGTATGATAATAAGCCAGGTAAAGGAAGTTATGGAAGTGGTGTAGGGAATGCTGTTGTACACATTGAGTACCCTCTGAAAGAAGACTAACAAGAACATGTAAACATGTAAAATAACCTGTTTCTATCAATGCAAATGGTCAAATACTGAAATGGAGCATGAACAACTGAAGAGTACTTCTGTATTTTTTCCTTAAAAGCTTCTTTAGGACTGGAAGTGTGGCTCAAGTAGTGGAACGCCTGCTTTGCAAGTGCAAAGCCCTCAGTTCAAAATCCAGTACCACTTAAAGAAAAAAGTTTCTTTGATGTGGTCAGGCACATGCTGGCACATGCCTATAAATCCAGCACTTGGGAGAGTGAGGCAGGAGGACTGCAAGTTCAAGGCCAGCCTGAGCTACATAGCAAGACCCTGTTCTCCCATACACCCCAACCACCCAAAACAGAAGTTACTTTAATGCTATAAATTAACTAAGGCCCCAATTTAATCAAAATAACTAGTGACCTTTCAAATAATGGCCCATACTTTTATCATTGATATCTTAAAATATACTCTATGTTTACAGATTTACACAAATGTTGAACGTGGACAATTTAAAAATCATATTGCCTATTACTGAGAGAAGTACTGGCTGCCTGCATATAGAAAGAAAACCACCTAGTATTGATGCAATTATGGATTCTATTAATATTGCTCTGCTTCCCATACCTGGTAACCGATGCTCCGACGGCCCCCTTCCTGTCCGCCTCTACAATGATCCTGTTCTTAGACAGCTGCTCTTGGATAAGAATAACTTTTTCAACTCCTTTAACAATGAAGTAGCCACCTGTCCAAAGGAAACAAGAGCAGCTTCACCACCTTCCTTCCTCAGTCAGTGTGACTAAAAGATGGCAGGGTCTTCATGGTACTGATAATCACTTAGCTTAAGGGGGCTGCAGACACCAGTCTAAGGACCATGACAAGATTTTCATTTTTCCTCCCCTTTGCTGCATTTAAAACAGGCTGAAGTGAGCTGCTGGAATCAGCCTAGACAAGGAAGTCTGGGAGATATTCCTTGAATTTTAAGCACACCAAAAGAAACTACTAAGCAAAGGTAGGAAAAAAAAAGCGATGAAGCACGGTAAGGTCATAGACCAGAGCTTCCGACAAATGAGGAAACTGCATTTTCAGAAATATGGACTCACACAATAAAAGTTAGAGCCACATTTTTAGAGTTTTGTGAACGTAGTTTTATGCAACAAGTTCACTGGAAGGCAGAAAGGCTGATATTGTTTTCATGGAAATGTTAAAAGATTAGCAGAACAACAGAAAAAACCCAAGGCATCACTCATACCTGGGTCCAAAGGACATTCATTCAGTTTGGCAAATTCCGCCGGTGTCTTTCCTGTCAGAACACAGTTGGAACTTCGTAGCATAATAGGCATTCTGTTAAAATAAAACATGGGAAAATATCACACACAAATTTTCAGTGGGCAAAGTTGCAAAGAGCACAAAATGTGCAGTAAACACATCACTAAGTGGTCTGCATCTCTGTGTGCCATGTTAGGAAAGGCAGAATGACAGCAGTTCCATGAAAGGGCCAAGGGAAATGAACTATTTCCCCAGACACTGCTTTTCTAGTGAAGATAATAAAAACTCAAATGTCTGGCTTTCTGAAACTATGTATGAAGACTTTAGTGAAGTCAGAATTGAGAGCAACTCCTCATTCACAGTAATAAACAAAGTGACTCACTAGTTACATGCTGGCATCATTTTCATTTAAGCATTGAGGACTGGAGGTATGGCTCAAGTGGTAGAGTACCTAGCCCCTGCCTCACAAATGCAAAGCCCTGAGTTCAATCCCTAGTACTGCCAAAAATAAATAAATAAATATATATATACATACATATTTTATATATATATATATTTAAGCATTAATTTTAAAATCTAGGAATAGACTGAAGAACAATAGATTTGACCCACCTGAAAGAAAATTTAGAAAGAGATCTTGAAGAAAATGTCAAGAGTTTCTGGCTGGGTGCTGGTGGCTCACGCCTGTAATCCTAGTTACTCAGGAGGCAAAGAACGGGAGGATCAAGGTTCGAAGCCAGTTGGGGCAAATAGTTTGCAAGCCCCTATCTAGAAAAATAACCAACCAAAAAGGGGCTGGCAGAATGAGTCAAGTGGTAGAGCACCTGCCTAGCAAGTGTGAGGCTAAATTCAAACCCCACTACCACCAAAACAAACAAAAAACCAAAGAATGTATTTCTGAAAGACTACTAGATGGAGATAGAAGGTGAGTCAAAGCATCATGGAAGAACAGAGTGAGATGTAATATAAATTTCATCAGACTTCAGATGGAGACAGTCCTTGTCAAATAGGGAATGGCTACAGATTTTTAAAGATACATGACAGCCATGAATCCTCACAATAATATCTATGTAATATAAATAAAAGGAAAGCCACCTAAACTTATTACAGTCAAGACACAAACACCAAAGTTGAACAAATTTAAAACCATGCTGAAGGAAGGGCAGATTACCAAAAAGGAAAGAAAGATTGGACTGACAGGTAACTTCACAACAATTAATTAACTCTAATTAGTAAGTGACAGTAGAGTGTATTACTCCAAAGTACTGAGAGAAAATAACTGGAAGTTTGGTATTTTGGTAAATCACTCAGAATAAGGTTACTATAACGATATTTTCAGACAAAAACTGAAGTTACTACTGACAGACCCTCACTAATGAAATTTCTAAAAGAAATTCATCTTCAGAAGAGGGAACATAAACACTGAATGCAAGTCTGACATGTGGGCTGGGAACGTGGCTCAGTGGTGGAATGCTTGCCTCGCACACAAGAGGTCCCAAGTTCAATCCTTAACCCAGCAAAAACAAAAAGAAGAAAAATAAAGTCTAACATGAAAAAAGTATGAATATAGAAAATGGAAAATAGTGTTCATAAATATAAACAGTATTAACCTTGTAAGACAATAATAATTTCTAATTGATGGGTTAAAAAACAAAACAAGATGGAACTAAAAGTTGGTATACTAAAAGCATGTCAGTCAGAAGGATTAATCTGATACAAGTTAAAGCTTCTAAGATCTTTGCTCTTTCCAGGAGAAGAATAAAGATATTAATTTAAAATTTTGCTAAGCGTATATTTCAAAACTTTACGATAAAACCAGAAATTCTTTACATGAGTTTCAAATCAGTTGAGACAGTAAGAACAAATCCTCCATTAACCCAAAACAGAAAATGGAAGAAAAATATATACACATGATAAAAAGCTGAACAGATTTAAAGTACAGAATGAGTTGACAGAAATATATCCAAATACATATATATGTATATATTTGTACATAGATGTTACATATATATTTGCATAAATATATAAATATTTAAATATAAAAATATAAATATAAATATTTGCATAAATATAAATGTAAACAAGCTACATTCTCAAGACAAACTTTTTTAAAAAATCTAGTCCTATGTAGTTTACTTTAAGAAACTAAAATACTCAATTTAATACCAATAAACAGTCCTGCTAAAATAAAGTTTAATATTTTAATATCTCCATTTATTTTTCTAACTAAAGAATGAGAACAGAAACAATACAAATAGCCCCTGCCTTTGAAGGAACTGTAAAGAGAAGGATTTGTTAAGGACTTCCTATTACAGGACCTGCCACACGGTACCATAATTCCTTATGTCTACCTCCCCTGACAGCTGTGGATAAATGTTATGTATGTTTTGTATTTTTCGATTCTCCTGAGTAACCAGCATGACAAGTGATGGCAATTACTGCATACTTGTTGAACAAAGTATGTGTATTAAGCTCTTAGCACTTTTGAGGGGGAAAATTACTCTGAAAAGGAATTATGCAGACTGAGTTTAAAATCAAATACCATTATTACACCATTACAGTACATCATTGTCTATTTCTACAGGAGACTCAATATGTTTTCCAGAAAAAAACTGATTCCAAAATTGTTAGTAGATGTCATCTACTATTTCCAAACTTGTTCTGGGCAAATAAGCAACTTCTCCCTTACGTACGACTACAGAGCAGACAGGAAAACTCAAACTTAACATACACACAGAATCCAAGTACACCAGCCCAAGAGAATTCAATACAATGCTGCTGTTCCCTGACAGCTTGGGGTTAAAAGAGCAAAGGAAAGCATTTTCCTTAAATTTACAGAAAAAGTTTCATAATTAATAACAACCACTATTATCTGCTGGACACTGCTCTAAGTGCCTAATATATGTTGACTACTTAGACCCACAAAGTAATCCTATGAAATGGGTACCACTTCCCACATAAGTTCACATGAGGAAACGAGGCAAAGAGGACATGAGTAGCTTGCTCAAGGTTGCATTAAGGGGCTGGACCCAGGTAGACTTCACTTCTCACCTGCCAATGGGTAAGGCGTTGCGAATGATCCTCTGGCTACCTCGGGTATATTCAATGTCCACTGTGATGGGGGCAGAATAAGTCATGTCCCTCAGACGGCACTGGAATGGAAGCAGACAGTTACTGCTCCTCCTTTCTGGCAAAGAGAGGGTCCTGTCTCCTTCAGAGATCCGACCCTAGTAGAAGTATGCCCCACATTGAACTTTGATCTCTCCTTGACTGACCTACCCCATGCTCTGCCAACACTGCAAGTTATCAGCTTACCTTCTCTACAAGGGGAATGACATCATAGGGGGACCTAGACATTGCTGATCATATCCTGCCAGTCTAGACATGGCGCAATTAACCTAGAGCTGATGTTCTCCACACTGACCTGGCACATCACTCTGCTCCCTATCTTTAAAGGTATCAGATTGCTCCTTACAAAGTTGGTCCATGGAAAGTAGTCAATGTGGCTGGGCATGTTGTTCCAAATGGCTAACCACCAATGTAACAGTAATGAAAGTATAAATACATACACATGCATAAATTTAAATGATACTTTTATTGGCCAAACGCACTAAGCTATACTAGACAACTCCTTACACCAAGTGTTATATGGAACAATAAAAATCAATCATACTACTCTAAAAATTTCTGATCCTTTTGTGGGATTTTAGAAATTGTTGGTGTATGCTTTGTGTTAGTTTGGCATGATGATGACAAGCTAAATGATGCTCTTGTGTGAGCCATGATCAGACACAAGAAACCCCATCCAAATTTTCCAATGATTTCCTATTAATATTCATCAGGTAGCTTGTACTTACAAAAAGAGAATTTCTCTGAACAATAGTCATATAATTGAGCACCACAGTGCTACATACTTCTTTCTGCCTCTATTAGACAAAAGATAGTTAGATTTAAACTTCTTTTAGGCTTCACAAATGTCTGGGATTTTAAAATATTAACATATCTATTACTGACCATTATGATTTAAATATGAAAATGTCCCCCACAGCTTCCTATGTTGAACTTGGTCCCCAGCTGGTGGTAGAAACTTTAGGAGGTGAGGCCTCATTGGAGGAAGTGGGTCACAAGAGCCAGGCCTTTGAATGTTGTTCATGGTCCCCATAACTCTGTTCTGTTTCTGTCTGCCTTGAGGTGAGCAGCCTCTGCTACATACTTCCACCACCATGATGTTCTGCCTGACCACAGGCCCAGAATCAACACGGCCAAGGACCATGAGCTGAGGCTTCTGAACAGGTGAGCCCAGATAAGTAATTCCTTAAGTTGGTTTTCTCAGCTATTTGGTCACAGCGACCCAAAAGTAATCAGCACACTGTCTACTAAAAATTGTTTATGTATGTTATTTTAGGTGGATAGACAGATACTGTTATATTAACTAAGTCAAGCCCTCTCCTTCAGGCTGGACCAACACTGATGTGCCACATAGTAAGTGAATGGACTCTATTGCCTAGGTTCAAATCCTGCCTTCATCACTTAACTTTTAAATCACCTTTCTGCATTTTAGTCTTCTTATACGTAAAACAGGAATGAGAATAATTGCTTTAATCCCACCCCACCCCTTTCTGGCAATACTAGAGTTACAATTCAGGGCCTTGCACTTGCTAGGTAGGTGTGTACCACTTGAGCCATAACACCAGCCCTTTTTTGCTTTAGTTATTTTCTAGATAGGGGTCTTGAATTTTTGCCTGGGGCTTGCCTTAAGACTACAATTCTCTTATCTATGCCTTCCAGGTAGCTGGGATTACAGGTGCAAGATACCACACCTAATTTATTTGTTGAGATGGGTCTCACTAACTTTTTTGCCTGGGATGGCCTCAAATCATCCTCTAGATCTCTACCTCCCGAGTAGTAAAAATATATTTTTAGAATGGTGCCTAGTGCATTATTATATAGTATTATCTCTTGTTTTTATTAATAAAATCAATAAAATGCCATGACAGATAATATTCAGTGGGTTTTAATAAATTCATTTATCCAAATGCAAATGAAATTCCACAGATATGATTAAAAATACAAAACAAGCTGGAGATGGGACTGAAGTAGCAGAGTGCTTGCCTAGCAAGCACAAACTCTGGAATTCAAACATCAGTACTGTCACAAAAAAAATGCAAAAACAAAAAAATTTGGCGACCATTGTCCGCACATCACTCTTCTATCCTCTTGGCCTCTCCTGTCACAGGGTAAGCTGTGCTGATGGAGCCTGCAGCACCTGCACCTGGCCAGTCTGCTGTGGCTCCAGGTCTGCCCCATCTGCTCTTAGTTTCTGCAGCTCTCGAAGAGTCAAAATCCCTCTAAGAAATCCTTGTCTGCCCCCACCTCTAATCACAATACTTGTGTGATTTCTTTGATAACAGAAAGAGTAACCATCATGCCAACTGTAGCATTTCCCTTCTTGAGCTATTTAAATACTTTGCCTTCTCCCTTCTCTGAACTCAGTAAACAAACATAGTATACAAGATAATTTGGAAATTGCCAGTTGGCTACCTAGCTGTTGAATAATTAGGTGTAGCAACATGGAAAGAAGAAAGGAAGAAGCCAAACTGGGCACACACTCTCCAATATCCTGCAGTTCTCACCACTCCCCTTCAATGTAACTTCACACATTTACCCTGCAAACCCGGTCCTTCTAGGCATTCAGGTTTGCAACCCTGGGAGACTGTGTTTCATTGTTTGTTATTTTAGACTCTCTACAAGAGTATGACTCTTGAGGAAGGATATTGTGTCTCACATTTTTTCAACGTTAAGGCACAAAATAAATGTTCACTAAATACTTAGTGTCTATATAATGCCAAAATTTACCTGTATAGAATCTCTGGTTACTTGATCATACTACCTATTGAATTTTGCTTGGACAATAAGCTTAACACCAAACACCTTACTTCCCTCGTAAAGATCCCTGTGTTACAATCCCTAATTGCTATCTCAGTTTTACCTGAACACAAACCAGATCCATCTACAAAATCCATGTCCTTTTCTTGAATCAATTTCCAATTATGGACACTAAGTGGAAGAATTTAAAGACAAATCTAAGAACTGCTAATAAGCAGGACTTCCTACAACCTTTTGTCTATAGCTCTGTTAAAACCCCTGCATTCAATTTTCTTCTCATAATCTGTCCTGTTACGACTATGAGCTCATCGTCCTTGGTCTCCTCCCCTTAACACAATGCCTGCTGACCCTCAAAGTGTGCTAAGTGAACAGCAATGAAGGGCACACCATGTGAGGAACAGTGTTTGGTTGGGTGGTTATGGTAGATTGCTATAAGCTCAGAAACAGGAAACACAAAAGTATACACAGTGCATGCTGACTATGATTACATGACAGAATAAATAGTATAAAATAGCTTCCAAATATAGTGAAGTACAGATTGAGTATATCTTACATGGGATAAGAACTGTTTCAGGTTTGGTATGTTTATATTTGGATTTTGCATAAACTTTCCCAGTTGAGTATCAGTGTGCTCAGTTTGGGATCTGGATTTGAAATTCTCCTGTATATTAGTACTTATTTTGGTTATCTTTGTCTCACAAGAAATTTTTTAAATCTGTTTTTAAGCAATCTTTTAAGAGTATATATTAAAGGCAACTAGACACCTATGGCTTATGCCTATAATCCTAGCTACTTGAGAGCCTGAGATCAGGAGGATCTCGGTTCAAGGCCAGTCCAGGCAAATAGTTTATGAAACCCCTATCTCCAAAACAACCAGAGAAAAATGGACTAGAGGTATGGCTCAAGTGATATAGTGCCTGGTTTGCAAGCCCAAAGCACTGAGTTCAAACCCCAGTCTCACAAAAAAAAAAAAAAAAAATTAAAAAAGCAGAGTCTGAGTTAAAACAAATCCAATTAATTTACCTCATGAGGGGACACTGGTCTAGTCACATTGAAGCTTTCTTCAACATCAGGAAGCCCCACATAGATATTAAGATATCTGAAAAGCAAAGCAAATTATTCCATTACCAATTATACTTCTTCAAAGAACATACAAACAAGCTACTTTTCTCCCTAATATATTTTTGATGAATGTTTACCTTGCTAAGAAAGGCAAACTAAAAATTATAATTGGACCTGAGCACAGTGACTCAAGACTGGCTACTTGGGAGGTTGAGATTGGGAGGATCAATGTCTGAGTGAGGCCAGCTTGGGCAAAAAGCTCCCAAGATCCCATCTTAACCAAAAGGTGGGCATGGAGGTTCATGCTTGCCATCCCAGCTACACAGGAGGCTGAGATTGGGAGGATGGCGGTTCTAGGACAGCTCAGGCGAAAAAAAAAAAAAAAGTTCGAGAGACTCCCCGTCTCAACAGAAAACGTTGGGCGTGGTGGTGCTGTCATCCCAGCTACAGCAGGAAACGTAAAATAGGAGGCTCATGGTCCAGGTTAGCCCAGGCAAAAAGTGAGATCCTATCTCTAAAATTACCAGAGCAAAACGGGCTAGAGGCATGGCTCAAATGGCAGAGCACTTGCTTAGGAAGCAGTACTGCCAAAAAAATAAATAAATAAAATACAATTGGACATTGTCTTAAAGTGATAGTGCACATAGCTTTACAAACAAGGGAAAATGTTATCAAAGTATATTTTTTTTAAAATACTGTAAATCTCTTTATAAAAATACTGGAAATATAGTTCCATAAAAATGATACCTAATGAAAAAAGCAAACTAAGAGATTCTCTATGGCACAGTATCATTCAAGAAAGAAAGAAGAGGGCATAGGGGAAAATATATGCTTAGTGGTGCAAAAGGAAGATATCAAGAAAAAAGCAGAACCTACTCAGGTTGGTAACTTACAGGAAGTAGCTGGGAACAGGGTAAAAAGAACTGGGAGAGAAGCAATGACTTCCTAGACACTGTTTTGTATAGGTGTAACTCAACAACGTTTCACTTGACCCAAAACATAAATGAATAAAAACAACCAGGATATAAGAGAACCCAAACTGTAATATAAGCCTTACTATATTAAAAAAGAATAAATAACATAACTGCACTGAAAGGGTGGTAAACAAAAGAACTAGCAATCCAGTAACTTTGGAAAACAGCACTTTTACTGGATACTGTAAAGCTAAAGACAAAAAGGATAACATATAAATGTCCTCTAAATAATAAACTTCATTTTCACAGAGGTATGAGCTAACAATTCTGAAATTACTTATGTACTATCTAGGATTGGAAAAATTTAAAATGAATTGCAAATGACAGCCAGGTTTCTCACCCTCAGGAATAGAAGTTAAAAATACAGATGGGGAGATTGTAGGAATCACTCTATACTGTTGAACTGAACTCAGAGGTGACCAGTCTGCATGGTTTTCAGTATATGCAAAAACTGATAGGATACGGGAGTATGGATGTATACATATGTGTTAGCATATGTACATACATTTCCTAAATCTGTCTGCTGAGAACTTAGTGTCCCTACTTTGGTTTATATTGCTATTTTCTAATTACAAGGGACCAGGGCTCCTAAGAGAAATGGTCCCAAACAAAGGCGGGGAGAAATTTGGATGAATATTGTATCTTATGGTTCCAGAAAATGCTTGCAAAATAATGGGAACATGTTGAGAACACAGGAGTCAGCCTGAAGGCTCTCCTGTGATCAAAGCTGAGACAGCTGGAGCAAGAGAATAACAGTACCGATTATAAACAATAAAATTAAATAAACACCCATGAGTCCAAATGGATATCAAGCAATGTACAGAAAGATAAATGAGGGGAAGGGATGGCTCAGCCATATTACAGAAAGACTTACCATTACACCACTATAACGGCTGTTATAGGTAAGAATCATCAAAGTTATTGGTGAAAGTATGATGAAAAATAAGATATTTGCAGTAAGTATTCCCATAGATACTTACTAATTAAAAAAGGAAATACAGTAACTTTATAGTGGAGAAACCTGGAAAATACCACCTTAACCAAGTGCACAAAGTTAATTTCATCAGTAATAAAAGATACTGACTCTAGGGAACCAGAGTTCAAGTGGTAGAGCACCTAGCAAGTATAAAGTCTTGAGTTCAAACCCCAGCCTCACCAAAAACATCCCTTGACATGAATCAGCAAAAAATGGACAAAATATTGCTCCTATGGTATTCTTGCCCAAAATACACAACCCAATCTAATCATTATTCAACTATCAATCATGTCCAAACTGAAGGAACTTCTACAAAAACTGACCAGACTATTCAAAAGTCATGAAACACCAAGAGAGACTGAGGAACTGTCACAGACTGAGGAAATTAAGAAGACAATTTAACATGGGGTCCTGGACTGAATCCTGCACTAGAAATAGGACATTAGTGGGAAAACATCAAATAAGATCTAAAGACTAACTGGTAGCACTGGAACAGTGCTAACTTTCTGGTTTTGATCACTGGGTTATGGTTATACAAGTTGTATAGTGGAAGCTGTGTGGAAAATATATGGCAATTCTTTATACTACTCTCGTAATTTTTATATAAGTCTAAAATTATTTCAAAACAAAATCTTGTTTTAAATGATTGAAGTCTAATAGTACCAGTAACTTCTCAATCAACTCTACTTAATATAATTAGCTTGCCAATTAAAAATTAAATTTGAGTACTTTATAATTTAATCTTATTAAACAGATAAAAGAGCATAATGTTACAAGTTTTGATAGCAACTATATTCACTTAAAAAATGTTAAACAGAGCTGAGTATGGCGGTGGCCACTTCTAATCCCAACAGTTAGGAGCTGGAGGGAGGAGGATCTTGAGTTTGAGATCAGCTCAAGTTACACAGTGAGACCCTGTCTCAAAAAAAAAAAAAAAAAACTAAGTTCAACATAAACACATTATGTGAAGAGTAGTCAGTTCCTTACTTTAAGTACCACATGGGGTCGGCATCACTCGTGACCTTTTCATTGGCTTTCATTATCTTCTTTATCTGCAGTAGAAAATGCAACATTAGAAGTGGACTCTGGCTTCCAATTAATTCCCAGCTTCTGTCCATTTCAAAGATCGATGCTTACCTCTACATTAATGAAATAGTTAAATGAGTCTATATGCTGTTTCACAAGGCCTTTCACCTAAACAGACAGAAAGCACAAAGTAGGTTACCAATAAAATGGCAGATTATATGGCTCTCTCTAACCAAAAGTAACCATCGTATTTTACTCAAAACCAAAGTGAGAAAAAAAAAATCCATGAGTTTTTATAGTAAAACTTTCATTAATGTGTCCTCATTCATTTCTCTACCATCTGACCAGTATGCCCTCAAACTTTTCTCCTTCAGAAGCGGTCTAGTCTTTGGAAGTCATGATGTCAGTATTTAAATGTACCTACTTCCTCCCCTTAAGTTAATAATGCAAGGAGAAAGTCAGCAATTGAACATCATCTTTTCAGTTTTCCCATAAAGCCTATTCTTTTTTGTCTCATTAAGAAAAGCTTATGGGAGGTCATTTTAGGTCCCATCAGACTAAACCAAACCAGAATGGAGTCACCTGTGCTAAGTGCTGTGTAATCACCTGAAGTTAGTGAAAGGCAGGTGTTTCAAACCAGGAGATTTACAGCAACCAATCAAAAGGGACCTAGCAATAGTGGAATTACTGTTCTACTCTTCTACTTTGAGATCAACTTTTTTAGCTTCCACATATGACACAGAACATGTATTTGTCTTTCTGTACCTGATTTATTTCACTCAAAATAACCTCGAGTTCCATTTCTTTTGCTGTAACAAAATAACAGGGTTTCTTTTCTTTTTTTTTTTTTTTAAGCTAATAGCCCATAGCACATTTTCCTATCCATCTGTCCATCCATGGACACCTAAGTAAATTGTATCTTGGCTACTTCGAATGCTATTGCAATAAACATGGATGTACAGGTTTCTCTTTGATATGCTGATTTCATTTCCTTTGGAATTTGGATCTCTTTAAATATGGAAGATCTAATTTTAGTTTTCTGAGAAACCTTCATACTAGAGAACCCCAAGTGAAATGAGTGTATGCAATAACCTCAGGGTTCTGTCTCTAGTGAGTTCTCTACCTTTTCTTGTTCTGTATACCATGAACTGTCTACTCTCTTTTTACTATACATACCACCCCTTCCTCTTTGCTGCTGTGATTCCCTAAAAACAAAACAAAAACCTTCTCTTGTCCTCACTACCATTTTATTTTGTTCTTGGTCACTCCTTTACTTAAAAACTCTTCATTAGCTTCGTATAACTGTAAGGAGAAAAAGTCAAATCCTTAACATGGCTTTCAAATCTGATCAGAAATCTGGTGCTTATAGCTTTCCCAGCCTTATCTCCCAGTACTCTCCCTTTGGCCTGGGACAACTAAGTCAACTGAACAAGTCCCCATTCTTTAAGTTAGCATAATGCTGTCAAGATTTATCCATGCTGTCACATATATCAGTAATTGATTTCTTTTTACTGCCAAATAATATCCCATTGCCTGAATACACCACATTTTAAAACCCATCCATCAGTTACATTCTTTTTACTGTTTCTACTTTTTTTGGCTATTATGAATAATGCTGGCTTGGGGTGTAGCTCAGTAGCAGAGCACTTGCCTAGTATGTGTAAGGCAAAACCCCAGCATTACAAACAAACAAACACCCCAAAACAGGATGAATAATGCTACTATAGATATTTTCTGTATGAGTTTTTGCATGGACATATGCTTTCATTTCTCTTGAGTAGATACATAGGAGTAGAGCTGCTGAATATAAGGCAGATCTATCTATGTTTAACCCTTTGAGGAGCTGTTGGGCTGCTTTTCAAATGTTGTAGCTCACTTGATAGTCCCCAATTTCTCCATGTCCTTGTTATTATCTTACATTTTGATTATACCATTCTAACTGGTATAAGTGGTCTCAGAATGAGAAACCTATATTGCTTCTTAGTGAAAGATATTACAACTGAAGCCTACACCATATTATACTAGATTCAGCAGCTCCTCTGACTACCCCTTCACTCATTTCCTACAGATCCTCTTGAGTACCCAGATTAAGACATGCTCTCCTCCCACCTTTCAGCTTAGCACATGCCTACACCTTACTTTGTCTATGTCTGGCCTGCTCTCACCCCTTTACCATCACATGCATGCCAACACACTCTGGATTTTATTATTAGTGTGCTGTGCTACTGTGTATATAGTATTTCCTCTCTCTAAATTAGACTACCATTCCCCCCAGCCAATAATTTAAAGGCAGGTGTTTAGTTTTATAACTGACAAAACCGAACACAATTGCACAAAATTTTTTTAAAAATTCAGTCTTAAAAAAGGCCATTTATTGACTTTTATCATATGTGAAATATCCAATTATTATTAAACAGAAAACAATTACCTTTAAAAATGCTGGAAGCAACCTCCACTTGTCCTGTGAATCAAGCAGTAAGAGGATCAGAGCTCCATGCCAGCACCACAATACTTTTATAAGTCATTGCAATGTAGCAAAAAGAAAACGAGCAAAAGAAAGTAAATCAAAACAAAAATTTCTTAAAATTATAACTACTTTTACAGAAATCATATATGTGTGAACATGCATATAAACATATACATATACATATCACAGCTTTTCTAAATATAATTTAATTTCTTCTTGATGACTCATGATTCTGAGTACTTTTCGTACCTTAGTTTATTCAAATGACACCTTCTGAGTAAGCTGGGCTTGTTAGTTTGAAAAGGGATAGTCAGTCTCAGGGACCAGTCTAAAGTCAGAATACACATTTCCTGAGGAAGGGCCTGATGACACCTGTGAAAACTGGCTTTCTCAGTAAGTGGCTGAGAAGAATTGGAAGTCTGAGTAGAAGAGTGACATGGAAGTTTGGGTATGGAGGGGCTGTCAGGAGTTTCGTTTGGGGCATGTTTAGTCTGAGATACCCATTAGACATGCAGGTAGAAACATCAAGTGGGCAACATATGGTGTGGAACTTGGGGATGAGAGACTGACAGTATAAATTAGAGAGGTTATAACTGAAGCCATGTGATGGATGAAAAGACCTAAAGAGCATAGATGGAGAAGAGTTCTTCGAAGCAAGACCAAGAATGCTTCAACATTTAGAGATAAGAAAAGAGACACAGGTGTGCCGGCAGTGGGGCTAGGCAGAGATAGACAACCTGAACACAGAAGGAAAACATTTTCAAGAAGGCAGCGAGGTAAACCAATCTAAAATGACAAATCAAAAGGTGGTTGTCGGGGTGGGGATGGAGTTTAGACTGAAAGAGTCATAAGAGAGCTTTCTGGTGTGATGGCTGGGTTCTACAGCTTGTTTCAAGTAACAGTTGTACAGGTATATGTAACTATCAAAACTAATTTAACTAAATACTATCTGTGCATTTTATAGTATATAATTATACTTTAATTTTATTAAAAAAATAGGAATGACAAATGATATAGGCTGAATTATGTCCCTTTCAAAATTCATATATTGAATCCTAGCCCCCAGGACCTCAGAATGTGACTTTACCTAGAAAAAGGAGGGTCAGTGTCATGTGAAGATGAAGTCAGAGATCAAAGTGATACTTCTACAAGGATTCTAAACACCACCAGCAAACTACCAGAAGCTAGGGGAGAGGCAAGGAACCAATTCTTCCTCCCAGCCCCAAAAAGGAACCAACTTTGCTGTGACCTTGATCTTAGACTTGTAGCCTCCAAAACTATGAGGCACTAAACTTACAATGTTAAAGCTATCCAGTTGTGATACAGTTGTGTATTGTAAACGAATACAGTCCCTCAATTTCCTACTTCCACATCTCAAATCTCCCCCACTGTACCCTACTAAATTCATCCGATCTTGAAGGAGGAGCATTCACTTTTGATCTAAGGCTCACCCTTCTGCTACAATACACCCCTTCCACTGCCTCCAGGAGATGGAAACCTTGTCCAGTTTCCATCCTCCCTGCCCTTGGATACTCAGCCCTTTGGCTTCTTCTCTATAATCATTGAGCTGTTCAAAGCTATCCATTTAAAAATAAAAATAAAAACTTTCTTGGCCCAGCACTTCCCTCAGCCCCTTTATTCTTGGCAGCTTACTCTCTCCTCCCACATAGTGTATGCTCAGCTTCTCTGATCCTCTTCTCCCACTCCTGCTTCATCCTACTGGCATCAGGATTCTGACCCACCTACCAGTGACATGGCTCATAAAGGTTCCCAAGGCTGCCAATTCTAAAGACCTGCCCTCCGCTCTTCCCTCACACCCCCTTCCAAGGTATTAGCTGAGCTGACCACCACCTTCTGTTCTTTTCTGACCTCTTTCCTTCCTCCCAATGGGCCTTCTAATTCTTCCTCTGTCCACCTTGTAAATGTATGTTTCACAAAGCTCTATCCCTGGTGACATCTCATTCTCAAGAAGGGCTGGGTTGAGGATGTAGCTCTGTGGTACAGCACTTGCCTAGCATGTGTAAGGCTGTGGGTTTTAGCCTTAGCTCCTCACACACAAAATAAGAATGATTCAAGTAGGACTGGGTATGGAGGATTTCAAATACTTGTTGAGTTTTCCCCATCACCCCTCAGTTCCAAATGTAAGCTTTTTCAAAGGCAAAGACTCTGTCTTGTTTACCACAGTGCTTGGTACATAAGACCTCTGGTAGGTAAAGAAAGTGAATAAATAAATGAGTTGAGTGAATATCAGTGCTACAGTGAGTTGCTGTGCATCAACCTGGGTACTGACTGCACAACCATACCTGAAGGACTCAGAGGACAAACTCAGTATGTCCAAAATTAAATCTTTCCCCCAGCTCCATTTCCAATCTCAATTAACAGCACCATCTATCCCAAGAATTCTACCTCTCTGCCACCTCTTTTTCTGGGGGGAAAAAAGATTTTTCTTTTTAATTAACACAAATAGTTGTATATATTAACGGGGTACAGAACAATGTTCTGTCAAATCAGGATAATTAGCATTTCCCTCTTTTTGTTTGGAGAGTTGAAGCTCCTCTCCTTCAGCCTTTCATAAAATATACAATGTTATTATAAACTATACTCACCCACTCTGCTGTGGAACACTAGAACTTATTCCTTCTGGTTTGTGTGTTCCTTCCCTCTCTGCCTTCCACCAGTGCTCGAGATTGAACCCAAGGTATGTGCTCTTATCACTGAGCTACACCTCCAGCCCTTAGTGTGTTTTGATACTCATCCAAACTTCCTCTGTCCCCACCTCTCCCCTTCCTAGCTTTTAGCAATTACTACCTTCCAAAATGCTTTTTTAGTCTCTGCTATGAGAACATGCAGTATTTGTCTTTCTGCGTCTGGCTTATTTCACTTAGGTGTGACTCCTCTTAATCAACAGGAAATCAAGTCCTGCTGAGTCTCTGTCCTTAATCTTCCTCAACTTTCCTCTACTGCCACACCAGTTGAGGCTTTCGTCATCTTCCACCTGCACCACTTCTGGCCTTCCCGTTCACCCCTTCCAACATTCAGCACTGGAGCAAAAGCATACCACCTCATCTGTACTGCTGATCATCTCATTCTCTGCCTTAGGCCTCCTCAGTGTGCCCACACTCCTTACCCTGTTGAAAGCCCACAGCAAGGCACACCTCCTCCATGCTCTCATCCTGCCTATTCATCCAACTCAGGTGGGCTCTTGCACACTGTGCACCTTCCATTTGGAATGCCTCCGTCTCCACAACACTTCATCCTCATATGCTGATTCCATTCAGGCATCACAACCCAGCTACCATACCTATCTACCTCTCTGCTTGCTTATATCAAATGCCTGCTGCATCTTATTCCACCTGCTTCCAAGTCTCCTCTATAAACCTATAGTTCCTGGAATGCAGGGAACAAGTCTTTTTTAACTTGCACAAACCCTGTTAGATGCACCACCAAAGTACTCGATAAATATTTATTCAACAAATAAAAAGATAACTGGTTTCAAAGCTTGTTATTTTTCCTGCCATGCTATAATACGAAGTGCAGAAAAAATATACTAGACATGATCGGTTCAAGTTAAACTGAGCTCCTAGGTAGAAAAGGTTACAGAGAAAACAAAAGTTGGAAAGTTGAGGTAAATAAATATTTTCATCTCTCAATTAAAATGAATCTTTTTTTTTCCATTCAGGAGAAATTCAGCATTGTTATAAACTTCTTAAAATGAGTACTGTTCAGATTAATCTTCATTAGTTTAACATTGAGATTATAGTGCTTACTTCACAAAAATAAAAAAGGCAACGATAACACTCAGCAGTATAAATGATTGAAATGTCATTTGCTGAGCTCTAATGCCATTCTAGATGTAGATACCTCTGCTTTGCAAAGGCAATAAAGGTATTCATTATATTCATTTACTCAAAAAGAATGTTAAGAAGTGAGGGCACAGCAGAGAATAAGATGGCAGGAAGAAGTCAAGTGAAGAAGAATAGTTACTACAGTGCTAAGACAGCACAGGATACTATGGCAAACAGATGTAGCATCTTCAGGGAGAATCAGGGAAGGCTGCCTAAAAAGTTTTATCATACTATATTATATCATATCATATTATATTCCATATTATATTATATTCCAAACAGGAATGAAAAAAAATCTGGAGGAAACTCTATGTGTTCAGTAGAAAAATCCCAAGACAGGAAGAGGGGGTAATGGTGAAGAGGCAGGAGAAGCAAGCAATGACCGACTGAGGAAATGACAGAGATTTTGTCCTAAGGAAAATGGGCAGAGACTGAAGGATTTTAGCCAAGGGAACAAGATAAGCACATTTTGTGTGTTTAGACTGATGGCTTTGGCTACAGGGTACAGAACAGATGGGAGTGAGACAAGTCAGGAGCCAAGCAGAACTGGTAGGGTATGAGAGGACAGTGGTTCTGGGTTGGAGAGAAGTGAGACTGAAGTTTCAGGATTGCTATGTATTTAGAAGGTAGGACCCTTAATTTGTGATTTGGACTGCAGAGGGCAGGGAAGGAACTGTTACTCCTGCATCAGAAGACTGGAACTGTGGGCCAAGCACAGTGGTACACTCTATAATCCCATCTACCCTCTTGTTTTCAAGGAACAATGTAATGCAGTGTTATGGATACACAGAGCCTGGTACGTAGTGCTCAGTAAAGCTATCTCTTAATATTAACCCTTCAAAATTAAAATCCAAGATTGCCTGATGATGACCAGCGGTGTACTTACAGGCACTCTCAGAATGAATATGATGCATTGATTATTCAACTTCATTAAGCTGCCAAATAATTATAAGATAAAGGAGGTTCTTTTGTGTGTTTTGGGGGATGGGGTTAGATATACTGAGGTTTGAACTCAGGGCCGAGCGCTTGTTAGAAGGGAGCTACCATTTGAGCCACTCCATCAGCCCAGTGTTTCTTATGATCCAAGTGAGTCACTGATCATGTCACTGATTTAACATTTCAGGCCCCTTACCTTTCCTTCATCTTTTATTCTTTCTCTCTTTCACTACATTCTACTGCTACTGGACTTAACATCGGTTTCTCAAAAAACATCTGATGGTCTGGCTGTGGGGTTTCAAGCATGTTGTTCCCTCTACCTGAAATCTCTCCCCTAATTATCTTCAATTCTCCACTTCCCCATCCTGTCCCAATGAAGATTGCAAGGCTCAGAGACTGAGATACAGGCTTTTCCAGAACGCAAACTGTCAACAGCTGCACTTCATTGGGTTGTTCACTGTAGAGCAATTATCCTTAGCTTCTGAGAATCTGGTAACACCTACAAGGTATTGCCTTGTAGAAAACACAATTAAAATTTTGGGTAAATATTCTGGGCGTTTTAACTACTCCTGCAGTCCTTATGAACTCTGGGCTACAAGAGCTGCTACTAACCTGCGATTCCGATTTTGTTTTACCCTACCCCCACCCCGAATCCAGCTGTGGAACCCCATGAAAGTGGCCTAGGCTCCACAGACCTCGGTGTCCTACAAACTTCAGAAGATGTAAGTGGTCGCCCAGGATGGGTGCGAGGACCAGACCTCTTCGATGCACATCTATCTATCCTAGAAAGGATCTACCCTGGGTCATTTGCCGGGATTCTTGGCCCGGGCAGCAGCTGACAGCTCCCACCGGACTACGATTCCACGCGCACGCCAGACTTGGGAAGGACTCGCACACGCGGTGGTCTGCGCATGCGCACACCTCCAACCGTGCGCTGAAGCCTCCGGCCCGCCCCTACCTGCGACCGAGGCTCTCCTGGCAACGCTTCCTCGGACGCCCGCGGCCCCTTCCGCTCTCCGCGTTTATAGCACTTACCTCCACTGTCGGGATCGGCGCAGCCAGCTGCTCCGGGGTCAAGGTTCCAAACTCCTCCGCTAGCACATCCATGCCACTCACGACAAAGGAAGAAGCAGGCAGAACCTTCTCGCATACCTTCACTACCTCCAAGCAAACTGCAGCACGCCTGGAGAGCGGTGCGCGACGGCCTAAACTATCCCCGCTGCTTTTGTTAACTGTAGGCGCGTCAGAAAGGTTCCGCCTGCTCCCGGCCCGAACCTGCGGTGGAACCCGGATGTGGCCAAGGCCGAACCGGGAAACTGCGCCCGCTGGTGTGCTTCAGAGGTATCTCCCGGGTAATCCCGGGATTTATTGTCAATTCTCCCGTAATTCTCATTTTTAAAGCAGTATACTATTGAATAACGAGAAACTATCCAAAATTATAAGGCATTGGTTAAAAAAATGGATGGTACCTACGTGTGGTGGACTAGTATACAGCCATCAGAATGAGCATAAAGTGGGGAGGAATTAACTCTAGTGTTAAAACAGATCAGGACAGTGCTTAATTCTCAAAGTACTAGAGGCAGTTTCTGGGAATACGTTACCAGCACATGGGGAATTTAGTATGAAACGTTGACATTTAAATCCGTAGTGGCTGGGCGCCGGTGGCTCCCGCCTGTAATCCTAGCTTCGGAGGCAGAGATCAGGAAGATCGCGGTTCTAGACCAGCCCAGGCAAATAGCCGACCTTATCTTGGAAAAAAAAAAAAAAAAAAGGCTGGTGGAGTGGCTGAGGGTGTAGGCCCTGAGTTCAAACCCTAGTACCCCCCCCCAAAAAAAGGGAAATACAGTAAATCCTAAATGGATTAAATATTTCAAAATTGGCAAAATTTAGAACATGGAACATGGAGTTGGTGAAGGACTTCAAGGATGGCACCAAAGAAATCATAACAGATTTGATAATAATAGAATTCTAAATATGGTTTTATGATTCCATGAAAAATTTAAAAATTTCTGAACAGATTGATAAAAATCACCTTGAATAGGTTTAAAAAAAAAGTTGGTAGAAGACAAAGGATCGGTGTCTCTAATTTAAAATGAACCCATACAAATTAATAATCAAATCATTGTTTTTCTCCATTGGGAAAAAAACAGGGTAAAATATACCAACAATTGTTTAATGGATAGAGTTTTCTTCCGTTTTGGAAGATGAAAAGTTCTGGAGATGGTTGCACAACAATGTGAATTTACTTAGTGCTACTGAACTGTGCATGATTTTGATGGTTACAGTGGAAAGTTTTATGTGTATTTTTCTTCAATGAAAAAGATGTGAAAAGCCAGGTGGGTGTTCTGTGCCTCTAATCCCAGCAATCTGGAAGCTGAACCTGGAGGATCTTGAGTTCCACACCAGCCTGGAGCTACATAGAGAGACCCTAGCTCAAAAAAAATATGAAAAATTGTAAATGTATGCTTTTCAATTTTTCCTTGTTAATGCATACCACTTGCACCAACTTAATCTAATTTCTGAATTAGCTTCTTAAATTTGAATGCTTGTATTATGCTGATGGACATCTGAAAGTAGGTGAAGAAAAGGAAAGGAAAAGTTAATGATCAGCCCCTGCACAAGAAATTCTTAAAATTAGAGGAGATACACTTGTACATGACCCTTGTCACTTACCAGAGAGCCCCCTATTTAGAGTCTAGCCTGGAAGGGACTATGAAAGTGACTTAATAGTTGGCTGAGGAGTTTGGTTCAGGTGTATGGGCTCTGCTCCAAAGGCCTGTTTGCTTTCCACTATCAAGGTGGTTCTCCAACATTAGGACAGATCAGAATTACCTGGAGAACTTGTTAAAAACAATCTTAGCTTTTTGATTGGTAGGTTGGGCCTGCAAATTCGCATTTCTTTCAAGTTCCCAGTTATAGCTACTATTGTCGCTGATAATCAACCAATATCAGAGTCCTCTGTTTATGTGTTTAGTTCTTCAGACTGTGGGCTCCAGAACAGGAACTGTCTTGTCTTTGTATTCCCTGACTCTAACCCATTGTTTCTCCCTTGATAATTTGTGTTCAGCAAATTAACTTGAAAAGCAAAAATGCAATAGATGATAATAAATTTGTTATATACATTTTTTAATCCTGATTTTTTTAAAGTTTCTCTTGAAGAGTGAGAAGCACTGGTACCAGTAGTCCCAAAGTCCTCCACAGCAGCAGTTGGGTGACACTGAGTAGCGTTGGCCATTAGACCACAGTGACCAGTCCTTCCTGCATTACGTCTGCACCCCAGGTCAATCCATGAATTCTTTCTGATCCCTCGAAAGACTGGATTTTCGAAACCAAAAAGCCAGGGACAGTCTTGTGCTTTCTCTGTTTTCTCCTGTTGCATCCTTTTCCTGAGGTATTAGTACAAAAAGCCTACTGGTTTGAATAGAGTGTTGAGAGATCCCAGAGAGAAAAGTGGTTATCATCAAAGTGTTGTGATAGCCAGATGAGAAATTAGCCAGGGGTGGGGGAGTAGGGGACACTGGTGAAGGAGAACAAGGGAAAGGGAAAGACAGAGGTGTCCGTGCTGGGCCTTGAAGTATAAGGGAAAGCTTCCGTTCACTGAGTGTCACTCTCTGCCAGGCATTGGAACCACACCTTTAAGCACATTCTCTAACCAAATGATGGACCCCTAGGGGATAAGTGTGATTATCTCCACTTGACAGGTGAGAGGGTAAGGCTCACAGTGGTTAAGAAATTTGCCCAAGCAGAGCTGTAATTTAAATCTGTAACTATCTGACCACAGGGCCCATGCTTTTAACGACTCTATCTTAATATCACATCAAAAGCATGAGGAGGTAGAAGGCATTTGCATTTCAACAAATAGAACAGCAGCATGAGGGCTTTTGTGTCACTAGAGAAAACCAGAAACAGTACTGGAGAAAGCATTCTTCAGTCTGAAAAGGCAAGAGCAGAGGGAGAATCCTTGAGAACTGTCATTTCACAAATGGCAAGGTGAGGGTGAGCATGAATAGAAGTTTCTAAGTGCTATAATCAGAACATTCTGCATTTTGAGCAAGAAGGGAGTCTAAAACCTTCACTTGCCTGTTATACCCACAGTCGTTTCTCTGAAAAGCTTTGCTTTGTGTCATGTGACTATCATCCTGTCAAAACCAGTAAATTCAGGTACCCATCAAAACAGCCTTGTAGGCTGGACATCAGAGCATGGAGGCTCATCAAGAGAACCTTACCCAATGTGGGGACATGTCCATAGTGACAAGTGGCAAACAATCATATTCTCTCTTGGGACATTTTCAATTAAGACACACCAAAAGAAAAGGACAATAACAATGAGAAATTCTTTTTTTTTTGTTTTTTTTTTTGATAAAGGTACTGAGGACTGAACCCAGGGCCTTGCACTTGATAGGTAAGTGCTTACCACTTGAGTTATGCCCTCAGCTGGAGAAATGTTTTTGACTGAGTGATCTAAGGAACTGATACAGCAAGTACTTAAGAGGGTTAGACTCCTTCCTTGGGTTCATACACACTTAGCAGCTCTACCACCTTGGGGAAGTTCCTGAGCCTGAGTCTCTTTTATACACATGGAAGTAATAGGGTCTGCCTAGCAGTTAAATGAAATAATGTAAATGAAGTGCTTAGAGTAGACCCTACCACATAACAAGTGCTTGGTGGCTATTATTACATTCTAAAAGAGAAAAAATTATATTCAACTGCTCTAGGGCACCTGCAAATGAGGCTGCTGAGACAGACTTCTGGTTTCCTTTCTTCTTCATAAAGCTTTACAGTAAGTCCCTATGTACCTTCCCTGTGAAGTCAGAAAAAAGACTAACATAGTAAGCTTAGGAATGAAAAACTACAGCTTTGCTTCAAAAAAAACATCAAGAGGGCACAAGGCAATTATAAATTTTTGAAAGGTCAGATTAAGTCATGCAGGATTAAAGTTATAATTGATTTAGAACATGTTGTGTTTTGTCACTATCCTTTGAAGTTGACATCAAGGACAACCACCACAACCTTGTACATACATTTGAGCTTCTCTGCCAATGACAATATTAGGTTTAATGAACCATGGTTCTGATGAGATATGACAATTTTTGTTCTTATGTAGTTAAGCACTTAATCATCACATCTCAAAACAGTAAAACCCCTTGAAGCTTGAAAGATACTGACCCATAAATTACAGTTATTATAATGCATTCTGGGTACATTATGCTTTAGTTTGCAGATAATTTCAAATATATCTCACTTGATTCTCACAATATCTCTGTGAGGTAGGCAGGTAGCCTGATAAGTAGGTTAGAAAACAGGCTCAAGGACACTGAAAGACCAGCTTGAGTTCATACTGCTATGAAATAATAGGAGTGAATTCAAACTCAGATCTGTGATTCTCAGTCCCATGCTATTATTACTAAACAATGAGTGGACAATTTTAGAATCTAACATTCTCAGAGGGAGAAGAGGCTGAACTTAAAAGATGAAGTGAGAAGTAAAAATATGTTGTGCAAAGGTGACTCTCCATGCCCATGGCAGGCTTGACCAAACAACCACAGAACTCTTCATGGAGTGCCCTGGATCTGGCTTCAAAATTCTCTCAACATGATCTCGAAAGATCATAGGCACAGAATGTTCAACCTATTTTCATGAAGAGAAAGTTCTCTGGGACTTATTTAAGGAAGCTTGAAGGGTATGAGGTGGACACCGCCATCCTCCCTTGCCATCAGATGAGGGCACATGATTGAATTCTGAGGGGAAGTGGCTGATCCTTTTCTTTCACCATCTGCTGAGTAAATGGAGGGGATTCTGAAGATCTAGGCAAGCAGAGTTACAGGATAGATGGAAGTTGGGTCCCTGGATGGCTGCTGAATGAAGTAAGCTCACTCCCATCTTACTCTCCCCCTCTACTTTGAACTATGCTTTCAGAAATGAGCTTATCCCAAGGCCACTGAGACTTGAGAGCTACTCATTCAGCAATTCATCTGCACACTCTAATGAAGGTTGTCTTCATGTAACTACATCCTTCCTCATACCATCTTTTGTATTATTCTCAGCAGCACTGCTGTGTTGGGTGGCCTTCTTAAACATTTCTCACAAATTTTAAAGACTTCATGAACATCTGTTATAGTGGCTATCTTTTTTGCTTTCTGCTTCTAAGCATACCCTTCCTATTTGAGAAAAATCCCAAGTAGGATGACTTTAGTGGGACCCCAGGATCCGAAGGGTCAACCACTTCCCCATTCCATCTCCTATAAATTACATCCTAGACATTTGATACAGACTTTCTCAAGTGAATGTTGGTATCTGGGACTTCAGATCTTAAGCAAATGAGGCAAAGAAGCAAGGACACCTGAAAAATCAATCTCAGCATGATTGGATCCCTTCATTCCCACCCATTTTCCATTGCCTGATTCCTCTGATTAAGTAGATTGAGAGGAACTCCATAACTATCCAACAAACTCCTTCACTGCTTTAGTTATTCAGTCAGTTTTTATTGCTTGTATCGCGTTTCTGTGTGAGTGCATGTGTGCATACACAAAACACACCAGAATATTCTAGCACCAACAAGAGCTCTTTGTCAGGACAATCTTTCCAACACATAAATTTGTTCGTGACTTTCTCCTGTTTCAAAGATTCAATGCCTCTTTAGCCTTTATCCCTGAAAGGACAAAAAAAAGAAGAATTTTCTGTATGGTATCCAAGAACTTTTTCACCTTTCTTATTTTGCCTCTCGTCACTTCACTTCTTCTACCTTACATTGGTTCCTAGGCTCACCATTTCTCCGTATTGCTGTACTCACTGTACACTTGGTCAGTTGTGTTTGCCCTTTTTTGGTTCTTGGAAAGTTCCTATGTATTCTTCATGTTTTAGCTCAAGAATTATCTTCTCCATGAACTAATATGAATCTTACTTATTTCATAGCCCTTCTTACACTTCACTGTATTTTTTTTACTAGATTATAAATGTCTTAAGGCTAATATCTGTATAGTCATCTCTGTATCACAACTAGGATCCTTGCTGACACACAGTAGATGCTCAATAGTTGTTTGTTAACTGAATTAATGTATGAATAAATGAATGAACATAACCTGATGTATGTAAGGCTCTAATCATCGGCATAGGAATCATTCTAGAGAACTACACTACTGTCCAATATTCTACCCCTGAGTCATCCAAAGGTAGCTAAAAAACAGAGGCACTGGCTATATTGAAATAATTTTTAATGTTTTAAAATTTAGGTAGTGCACACAATACATGTTTTAGCAGTAGAATGAAAATGTGTATATGGTATTTAATAAAATTTACATTACAAAACCAGACATTAGGAAAACCTCAAAAGTAGAAGTAAACATTTGAGTAAAAACTAAACATGCTAAGGGATATGATTTTAAAATCCATCTAAATCCAGACTTGAGACACAAGATTTACTTTGCCACTTAAAAAAAAAAAAAAAAGCAGAATGCCCTTCATTTTAAATGCAATTTTTTAAAATGTTTGCACATTGTTTTCCTGCAGGCAACTGCAGTGTTATCAAGTATTTAAGTGAATATAAACTGAATTCCAATTTGATAATAAAAATGTACACCAACTGTTAAGCATACAGTTCACCTCAGAAAGCAACAAAAATGCATACTACATATTCATTCCCTTTCAGACCCTTTCCACTACCCAGGCCCAAAAGTGAGCATAGCTAAAAATGACTTCAGCTTCAGAGAAAATGAAAACAAGTCTTCTGCACCTTGTGGTTTCTAAGCACAGGGAAACATGGCAGAATGGAGCTACAGGAGAAGAACAAAACAAGTAAGACCAATCTGTGCCCTTCAGTAAAGTCCACTAATGGATTTATGTATCAGACATTGGGGGAAAATTCATGATTTCCTGAATGACTCTGTAAAATGCAAAGATTAGAAATAATCACACAATTGTTTCCTATAACTTCATAAACTAATAACACCATAATGGTAGAGGTGAGGAAAAGCAGGCATACTCTTTTTACTTCCTACCTACTCTTCCCCACCAAATTACTAATGTTCAGTGGGTCCTTACCAAACAAAACAATCCAAAACTTGTATGTTCTGCAGCTAAAGCACTTGTAACAGACCATGTGCCCCTAAACTGTAGAACTACCCTCAGCATGCCAAAAGTAGTAGTTGATGCCTGAATAAGCTGACTTCTTTAAAATCCCAATGACAGCTAGTGTCCAGCTGTGCCAGGTTTGATTCATATTCAGCAATGGCTAATGATGCTACTGTAGTCATAACAGGGTAAGGATTTCCTAAGCACAGAGGAATTCTGCTAATTAAGTTATATGGTTAAAAAACTCAAAGTTCAACTATTTCTTTTTCAGATGTGAACATCACAGAGAATGGGATCCTATTTTGTTGTAAACTTCCCTTCTTGCAAGGAAGCAAATTCAAACCAGCCCTGCCTCACATGAATATATTAAAATCTTATACAAACCTATTAATGGCCTGAGAAATGCAAGGATATTGCAAGATATTTGTGCAAATTTTTTTCTCTCAGAGAGTAGGTTAATAGGCAAGAAGAAACAAACTTGTAGAATAAAATTTTAGAAGGAAAGGATTTGTTTCTATTTTCACTAACAATCCTGGGAGGCTTTATCTAAAATGTGTTTGTAACATAAAAATTACTCAATAAATTTAACTTCTAAATAAATACTGACAATTGGTATTAAAAATATGATTTGATATGTTTTTGGAATTTGAGGACTTACTCTGTAAGTTTCTATTACACATTAGTAAAATAGTAATTGTACATTTCAAATACAATTATGTTTACTTCATGTAGTTCATTCAGAATACCAATTCCCTTGGTTATTCTCACAACTTTCAACCCTTTAAAAAGTTGTACCAAAACTAAAAATCATTAGATATGATAGTGATAAATGAGGAAAACAACTCCTTACAGGGTGAATGAATAAGCCAAATATAAATCCTTAAGAAAACATATTATATAGGTAATATAATTAATTAAAATTGCTCTTTGCTCATTAAAAATGTGTTTTAAATTTTAAAATGATGCACAGAAAAGGTCTAAGGTCTTTGTGGGTTTTCTGTAATGCTAGCATTACCAGATTATACAGACTTGGACTAACACTGCACCACAGACAGTACTGAGAATGTGTTGCATCTATAATGCCATTAATGGAAATGGACTGGGTACCAAAGTGCCGGATTTCCCATCTCTTCTCCAATGTCAGTTCCTTTTTAGTTAGATGGAGGTGAAGCATCTGCCTTCCCCATGACTTCCTCCCCGAACAGCAGCTTACGAAGTATATTTGCATAAAATGGTCCATACACTTGTTTGTTGAGATTCACCATGTTTGCATATTGTGTGCCTAGCACTTCTAGCTCCTGCTGAATGAGAGCAAGGCCTCCTGGCATGGGAGGCATACACTTTTGAGGGCTTGGAAGACAAAGTAGGTTTTTCATGTACAGCTGGATTCGTTTATCTGAAGGAAAAAAAAAAAAGATACCTTTATCTGTCCCATTATTGAAATATGTAATTTTAAACACAACTAACTGTAATGATAGGATTTGATACTGTTCCTGTTTACCTGTCCTGGATCCAGGTGGCACTGCAGTTCCTCCCACGGAGGGACAGAGTATGTTTCCCCATCCTTTGAATCTGGACTGGCCTATGACTTCCTTTGCAAGTCATACAATGTTGTGGAAATGCCTGCATGCCAATTCCATATCTAGACCTCAAGAGGCGTGATCACATCCACTCTCTGCCTATGACTGCCATGTGAACAAGGCTTGGCATGCTGGAGGATGAGATCAAGTGAAGGAAATCCAGCTGTTCCATCTGAGACCATCCTAGATCAACCTGTAGCCAGCTAACTCCCAAACACCTGAGAGGGTCCAGCTAAGATCAGCAGAGCTACCAACCTGAACCACAACTGACCACAAATACATGTATGACTCCAGCAAGAACAGAAGAACTATCCAACTGCCCGACAAACTTGGAGTTTTGGGATAACTTGTTACCCAGCAATAGCTGATTAATTTTAAAAAGTAGAGCCCTCGGGTGGAGGAACTTACAAAAGTCTATCCCCACCATACACGGTTGTACTTATGCACACTGAAACTGAGTTTGTAAACTGCCAGTTTGGTCCACATTGTGTTTTTTAAATTTTGTTTTTTAAATAGAAGCTATTTCGAATCAGAGAATTTCACATAGAAATCTAAAGTTTTGGTTTTTCATGAAAAATCTAGAAATCTAGTATACCTGGGGGTCCAAATTACCACATGGCAAGAGTGACTCACGTCTAGGTTTTCCCAAGACAGTTGTAGTTTACAGCTGTGGTCTTAGCAGAATTAAAAAGAATGCTCATGAAAGTGTCCTGCACTTGGTCAACATCCAGGAGGCACTGCTGGTGGGCCGCCCCAGCTAATACTGCAATTTGCCCCCTTCCCCTGTGCTCTGCGGCTTCAGTGGGTCTCAGTTTGAGATTACTACACAGAAGCTTGCAAACTGTGTGCATTGATCAGACTGCAGTGATGTTGGGCAACTAGTAATGGGCAAACCAGACCTGCTACAGTTCATGCAGCTCTCTGGCTTTGGAAACATAAGCCCACAAATAAGACAGGTTACTAAGAAGAATACACTCCATTGAGTACAGACAGCTATGATATTAGTGGAACTCACTTTCAAACACTTTTCCCCAAAGTTACATTTTAGCTAGGTCTGGCCTAGCACTCAAAAGTTTCCAATGTCCATGTCTAGACAGAATTTTTCCTCTTACTAAAATGCCCTTCCATCTCATCTCATCTCTGCTCAGAGTCAACATCCTTCAGTGTTGAGTCTAAAGTTGCCTCCTCTTTCTGTGGCTTTCCCTAGCATTATCATCAGGTTATCATACCACAGTATTACCAGCTGAAAATGTATCTTTCTCCTGTCTTAGACAGTGGGCTAAGGGTAAAGGTCACATATCTTTTAGCTTTATATTTCTAGTGGCATGTGGCAGGCACATCATAAATGCTGAGTGAATTTAAGTGAAAATGAAATGAAAGAGATCTACAAAGATAAATATCAAACTGGAAATAATGGGAGTCACGGAGGAATGGAGAGTGGAGAAAGCAGGCATAGACAAGAGAAGCCTTACCTGTAATGTTTCAACAAGGGGAAATTATTCATGTACCACTTAAGGCAGTTGAAAATTACTTTTTAAAAATATAAGTGGTTGTAGGCATGGAAATAGTCTACACAGCAGGTAATCATAAATATTTTTACCTGGCTTTTATATATACTTGAAGATATTTTGGTTTGAAAAAAGCTCCCTTTCTAAGTATCTTTTTTAAAGGGTTAAGAACACTGTGGCAAGTGTAATCCCTTTGGTGCATAAATAGCACATCAACTAAGACAACTAAGGCAGAGCATGAGTACTGTGAACAGGGAGGAAAACCATGGCTAACACTACTTGACCCTTTCTTATATTCCAAGGATCTCTTTATGTGCTTAATTTATTCTAGCTCCTCTGCATGCAGAAAATCCAGTAAACTTGTACTAAGTTTCCTTTAAGTATGGCTGCCTGACTCTCACAGGCCCAGGCTTATCTTCTTCACAGATGCAGTCCAAACACTTTCCCACCAGAAGGTATAGAAACGAAACCCTTTCAAAATTGCTATTATTCTGACAAGTGGTACTGTTTCCTCTGTAAATACATTAGTTTTTAGGTCAAAACTACAATAACAGGAGCATTTGTTCAATTAGGATCATCTAGAATCCCTGCCAAAGGCATGTCCTTGGCTTCCAGAGTTGAAGGAGAGATACTCTAGAGAGTCACTCAAGTTTCTAGGGCAACACTACTGTGAATGAGGTTAAAAACTGCTTTCAATATGCACAAGGGCAGGAAAGTTGGCCTGAGAGAGCTGGGTGGACAAAAGTTGCTTTACCAGATTGTAAGAGGAATCCCTTATCCTCTGCTTCCCTTTCCTTTCTGACATTGCAAGTATTTCCCTCATCTAAAGCATAAGCACAGACAAATTGGGACACTCTGGCCACTTGGCCAACAGCAGCAGGGCTCCAGCTCTGACTGAAGTGCTGGGCAGAATAGTTAGGAGTATGAGCTCTGGAGTCAGGGAGGCTAGGCAAGAGTGTCACCTCTGCCTCCGCTACTCATGGGGCCCTGTGTGAAAGTTATTTAACCTCTCCAAATCTACTATGCATTACACCCATTTCACAAGTATTAATTACATGTCATCTATGGGCTTGGAATTGTGCAGGGATACAGCAGTAGCCAAACATGCACTCTGTGCTCATGAGGCCTGCACATGAGTGGGAACCTAGAAGTATATGGCCAACTGCTAGACAGTCTTAGTCCCCACTCTACCCCTCTTCCAGGCAGAAAATGTGAGGGTAGATACATATCAGCATATGAAGGTATATGGGGAAGGGCTATTACCAATATCTGTGTATGTTACTGTTACTAACTATCCCTTCTCAGCAGCAGCCTCTCCTGCCACCCACAATTTTGGACCTAGCACTGCTCTTTTCTGGGGCCAGATCTGAAGCCTTGGGCCACTCAAGTAGATTGCAGTCTAGATCCCCAGTATTCCATGTTCCCTAGATATGGATAAGAAAAACATTTTCAGAGCCTCAAATAAATAATAAAATGTGTCTGTATCCTAAAGGCAGTCAATGCTGTACTGGAAAGATTTGCAGATTAATTCAAAAATGTTAATATATTCTAATTCTACCCTCTTTTCCTACTTCTAGTCTTTATTCCTCCATCTCTATAGTAGACACCTGCATTTATAAAACCCCAGCTTTTTCCCCCTTTTATAGAACCCTGATTTTGTGTGCAGGGAGCATCTTTTTCCTCTTGTCATCAAGTATCAGTAAAGCAGAATTTACCCTGGCTCCAAAAAGTGAGCACATGTCTCAGGCTTAAGTTTCTTCCCTTCTGGTCACCATGACTGCTTCAGGAATGGGATGTACTCCATTTATAAAATCTACTGGCCTAGATAGGCAAATTGGAGCCAAGAGAATTTGTGCTGGGGGGGTCAAGCTTGAGCTAACAGAGAGACAGACTTCTTGTTTTTGCTTGACTTAAACATGGAAAGATGAAGGCTGGAGTTGAAGCCATTTTGCTGTCATGAGAAAAGCCTGTGCAGGCAGCCAGCCAAGAAGAAGGCAACACTGGGAGACAGAGGCGGCAGAGCTCGATTATGCTCTCCCAGCAGTGAGCCCTACTCCGGGCCTTTTCAGTTGCATGAGGAAAAAAATATGTCCTTCCTGCTTAAACTAGCTTAGAAGTTTGATTCTTTGTCACAGGCAATAGGCAAAGTCCTAACTGACACACTCTCCATTTTTCCAATTCACCAACATAGCTGGCGCTAAGACAGTCATTTTCCTGACCAACAAGTACAGAGGAGCCCACCCAGTATGCCTCTCAGTTCCACAGCCTTTTTATTCTTTATCTCTTTAATCCTAACCAAGAAAAAGGCCTCAGTTTCCTTAGACTTGCTCACAGCTGAAATCCATATTTACTTTCTGTGAACATACTGCCAGCTGGTTTAAACTGTGCACTGATCTAGATTTTAACATTTCTGGTGGAATTGGGTTACTTTCTTTACAAAACCTACTGGCTGGATAATTAAAGATAATAGGCCCTGAAATATTCCACCCACCCAACTATACATGTATGTGTCTCTCTCTCCCTCACATACATGTATGTATGTGAGAGAGAAACCAGTGAGACCCAAGCCTCTGAAAATATTAACATTTCTTAATATTTATCCTCTAAAAGCAGGTAAAGTTGAGGTTCTTTTTTTATTCAAAATGCTTGGGACCTAAAGCATTTCAATTTTGCTGGTTTTTTGGAATCTTCGTGTGGATTTGAAAATCCAAAACATGAAATGCTCCAAGAACTGAACCATTTAGTAATAGGTTTAAGTATAAGTATAAATATAAAATATTATGGACACTTTAGTCAAAAATGACAAGTTAAAGAAAATTGGGACTGAAGCACCAATCAATAAAAAATGAGGACTCACCAATCAAGGACCGGACAGGATTGTCTTTCTCTTCAATGCTTGAGAATTGACCTACAAGATTAGCTTGAACCTCAGCATTTACAGTAGGTAAACCTCTCTCTTTCAGGGTCTTGTTAATCTCAACACAAGTCTGAGCACCAATAGAATTCAGGACTTCCTTCAAGTTAAAGGTCCTATAAAACATAAAACAAAATCCTATTAGGGAAAGTTTTTGTTCTTCAGGGTTTTATTTTGTATTTAAATATACCAACTTATTTCAGATGCCTATTAATTTTCTCTTATATGGACAATAATTACTTCTATTTGAATAAACATAGAAAATATTAACTCCTTCCAACTACCAACCCTCACAAGTAACCAATTTTTAAATGCTTAAAGCCATGCAATTGTGTGCTTACTGTCCAAATAGGAAAGAATGAGCAGAAAAATGTGGTCCCTAAAAATGAGTCTGCAACACCATTTACATGCAGATTATCAGAAAGGGACAGAAAACTATTTACATCCTAAAATAAATCCATTGGTCTCAGTAGATTTAGTCATATATTCTTAAATGCTTGGAAATGTTAAGTGCATGGTAAACGCTTAATGAGAAGAAAAAGAGGAAAATGATGTATCACTACTGCTATCATTAACAGCAATAAGAAGTACTGGTGTTCTACCTTAACTGAATTTGCCTACAATGAACCTGCCTTTGGGATTCTATAACCCAAGGGTAGATTGTGGCAAAATTTTTACCTCCTGACTTTTTACCTACTAGAAAGTACTGCTCTAGCTTTCTCCTGCTTTTAATCAGTGAGTTTTTAGGCTAAAGAAAAATTTAATTTTAGTGTAACTTAAGTCTTCCTATTCACAGTCTTGCTCAATGTTGAGATGCATCATTAAGCCAAATATATGACATCTGGATCTACTGGCTATTTGGGATCATAGGCTTTTTGGTATTATGAATGTTATTACCCCATCCATAATGAGGATGCCTGAAAACTGACTGCACTCATTTTCTAATAAAGGAGAAAAATTAAATAAAAAACTAACTAAACATTCTATAAATAGGAGGATTTAACACCTCAATAGTTATTAATAGCTAACATTCACTGAGCACATACTAAGTACCAGACACCTGTACTGAGTTTCACATGAATCATCTTAAGTTCTCACAACTTCAAGGTAGACACAATTTACTATTCTCTTTTTACAGGTGAGAAAGTGAGGCTCAGAGTGACTTGGAAATTTGTTCAATCATACATAACATAGCAGAGTTAGGACTTAAATCCTGGTCATCTGACCTAAAGTCTGTCCTCTTAGTAACCAGTTTCTTTGTGCTTTATATTAATACTAAGCAGCACTGATGTTCACTAAAGGCATAATAAATAAAAGTTTCTAAAAAGTAATATTACTCGGTGTAAGGAAATACTAAGGTAAGACCAACTGCAAAGTCAGAGGAAGTTTTTTCTTCTTCCAGTGAGGTCTTGGGTCCAAGAATATGAAATGAACATGGCAGATTAGCAACAGAATCACTAGTAAGGGAGGGCCTTGGTTTGCCCTTTACCCTCTGTTCAATTCAAGGCAAATTCTCTTCTTTCTCTGAGCTTCAGCTCCAAAAGAGAAGTTTGGATCCTGAACCACGTGGACTCCTATTCTATCACTTCACTGAGTCTCTGAGTAACTGATGGAAGTATAGGCAAATCTCACTTCAATGGCAGGAGTAAAGAGGACATGTCCATGAAAACACCTGAAAGGCAAACCAGCAGAAGGGACTGACCCATGTATGACCCGTGAAAACATCTGGCCATTGGCTAAACTAGGAATTTTCTGACTTAAACAGGATTTCAATGGGATGACCTAAATTCAAAATCTAAATGGGATTCTAGCATTCAATGATACCGGAGAATAATTTAGCAAAAACAAAACATTCACAGGATTTGTTTCAAATCTTGTAAGGACAGAACTATTACTACATCTAAAGATTTCATAGCAGTCTTTAGATGCTATGACTTGACTGACTTGATCCCTCAAGTCAGTAAATATTTTGTTGAAGAAAAGTGTGGAGAGCTGGAGGCATGGCTCAAGTGGTAGAATGTCTGCTTAGCAAGCGCAAGGCCCTAGGTATAAACGCCTGTACCACCAAAGGGGGAAAAGAGTGCTGGACAGAAAAGAGCAATTAAAAATGGAAAACCCTCTTTGATAGGCAGCTCCAAACACTGGGCTCTGTGGATTTGTTTTTTGTTTGGTTTTTTTTCCCACAGTACTGCCAGAGAAAAGGCTCTTGCACATACCATTACTAAGGAGAAAGAATATACTCATCCTTGCACTTTGGAAAACTCCTCTCCCTTCCTATGAAAGGACATCTAGGCCTTCAGAGACACTGAGTGAAATTCTAAAAAAAGGTGTAAGATAAGCTTCTGTAAAGCATAGTCCTGAGTATCACATCCAGATGTTCAAGGTTATTCTTGTTCCTGAAACTACACGCAAGATCTTAAATACATGGGGCAACAGATATAAACACAGGGAACTTACTCTTTATTCATGCCTTCAAGTAGAACAGCTGAAATCCTTTTTAACCTGTTTGCAAGCTCAGGCAGGCCTTCTGTAATAGCACCCACCATGTTGTTGGTAATTAGGGACAGGCAGGCAATAATTTTCAATTGATTCAGCTTTTCTGTCAGTTCCTGAAGTCGTGTTCCATCTGTCATGAGTGTCTAGCATATTTATTTAAAATGTAAAAATAGAAAGGGAAGCACAATACCATGAAAATGTAAAATAAGCAATGTCATATCCAAACTCCCATTTTCAGTAAAGTCATTAAACCATATACAATACAGACAGACTAGCTAACTCAAAGTTAGAACTGAAGAATATAAATATTGAATAACTTGGGGGAAGAAAAAAAATTACTCACCTCTGGCAAGTCTTTTTTCTGATAATCCCACTGTAATAGTTTCAAGTAACTGTTATTTAGCACCAATGTAGGGCTCAGGCTTGGCATGGAGCTATTTTCAGCCCCGGAAGTTGTAGAAGTCTCACAAACAGAAAGTAATTCTTCATTTACAGATTCTTTTATCCATTCTGTAGTTTGATCAAGAGCATCTAGGAGTGAAAAAAGGCACATATCTGTCATTTTTTCATCTGTGTATTCCACATGACAGATTCTATGCTAGGTGCTGGGCATGAATGAAAAAACACAGCCATACCCCTAGTTCAGATGGAGAGACAGGCCAGTAAACTAACAATTACTTATAACAGGATACAATGAATGCTAGAGGCATAGGCGGGGAAAAGGGAGCAGAGGTTGTCCAGTGGAGTATCTAAGAGGAAGAGCTCCATTAAGTGACACTTGAGGATAAAAGGGAGACAGAAGACAAGGCTGGTTTTGTCATCTACTAAGATAGGAGCATAGACTAGAGGGGTCAGGAAATAAATCCTTCTTTGACCTTTTGAAAGCCATCAGCAATGTTCTGGATGTTTAACCTGTGAACACTTCTAAATTCTGCCTTTTTATTTTTTAATCTCTCTATAATACCTGCCCATCAGAGTACTGAGTACACCCCTCCTAAACTCTTTCTTCTCCTGGCTTCTGTGACTCCACTTTCTCCTCATTCCTCTATCTCACCTAATACTTGGGTTCTTCTTCCTCTGCGTGTTCGGTAAATGTTGCCAACTCCAAGGACAACTCAGTCTACTTCCGTTCATTACTCTTCAGTCTCACTGTATACCTTACTCATTTTCTTGGTTTCCATTTCCATCCATACCCCAGAAGGCTCTCAGCCATAAATTGCTAGGCTGCATTTCTCTCCTGAGCTTCTTTTTATGTGGGATTGGGGTTTGAACTCATAGTCTCATGCTTGCTAAGGAAGCGCTCTACCACTTGAGCACTTCAGCAGCCCTCCCCTGAGCTTCTGATTTCCTCATTTTTGGAATGAGAAAATGAGAGTTGCTGAATGTGCAATTGGCAAGAGATGCCCAGCAGCATACTGCTACACAGTGTTTCTATCATTCAAATATAGCTATAATCTCAAGACTACAGGCAACAGTAAGATAATTAGGAAGTGAGGAGTTTCTAATACTTATTCTTTAAATAAATACCTTTGCTTTTTATCATTCTTATTTTACTTTTCACACATATATATTTATAAACATACAATAATTTCACACAATGTTCAGCTCTTAAGTGTCCAGTTTGGTGAGTTTTGACTCTTCTAGATACCTGTGCAAGAACCACTCAAAACAAGATACAGACCATTTTCATTACCTCCCAAAGTTCTTCATCTCCATTTCCGGTCAATTTGTAGTCCACTCAACCACTTTTTTTTTTTTTTCTGGAAGAACCAAGGATTGACTCAGGACCCAGTACTTGCTAGGCAAGTGTTCTACCACTTGAGCCATGCCCCAGTCCTTTGGCTTTTTTAGTTTGTTTTTCAGATGGGGTCTTATGCTTTTGTCAAGGCTGGTCTCAGGCAAAAATTCTCCCACCTCTGCCTCCCAAGTAACTGGGATTAAAGAAGTGTACCACCATGCCTGACCCTCACTCAACTACTTTTCTTTTCAGATCTGTAAGTTTATTTGCTCAGTGTACAATAGCTACATGACTCACATATGTAACATTCCATCACTGAGGAAAACTGCTAAGAATGGTCCATGTGCAAAATAACTGCTCAGAGAAATACAGAGATGGAAAAACAATCACCGATCAGACTTTAAAAATAGTTCACTGCATAGCATGACAAAAGCACAAAGGCTCACTCAGAGTCACTCAACTACTTTTAACTGCTAACTTCAAGGATTAGTTTCACTTTCTACAGTTTCATATAAATGGAATCATATAGTACCTAACAATGCTTTTGAGATTTATTCATGTTGTCTTGTGTATCATAGTTCATTCTTCCTTAGGGCTTTTAAAAAATAACTTATTTTGAAATAGTTCAAGATTCAAGAAGTTGTAAAAATAGTACAGAGAGTTTCTATATACCCTTCATGCAGCGACAGCATCTTAAAAAACCACAGCATATTGTCAAAACTAGGAAACTGGTACTGATAGCATTAATTTAGGTACAGGTTTGAGTTGGATTTCCCAGTTTTTTAAATGCATTTTTTATGTACATGTATAGTTCTATGAAATTTTATTACATTTATGGTTTGATGTTACCACCAGGGTACTGAACTATTTTATCACCACAAGAAGACTTCTTCATGTTACCCCTTAGTAGTCAGACTCTCTCCTCAATTCTAACCTGTGGTAACCACTGATCATTTTAATTATGTCACTTCAAGAAAGTCTATAGGAATCAACAACATGCAACTGTTATGGATTGACTATTTGAATCTGCCCCACAATCTAAAAGTTGAAGCCTTTACTCCCGTGTGATGGTATTTGGAGATGGGGCCTTTGGGAGGTTAATTAGGGTTAGATAAAGTCATGAGGCAGGCCCCTCAGATAGCATTGGTGCCCTTATGAGAGGAGACACAAGACAGCTTTACTCTTTCATCTACAGGCACACACTGAAAAAAAGATACATAAGAAGCAACAAGGTGGGTGTCTAAAAGCAAGGAAGAAAGCCCTTACCAGGAATACAACCAGCCAGTCCCTTGGTCTTGGACTGCTTAGACTCTACAAGTAAGAAATTTTTTTTTTGCAGGGGGCGGGGGGCGGTACTAGGGTTTGAACTCAGGGCCTCATGTTTGCTAGGCAGGTGCTCTACCACTTAGACCACACCATCAGCCACAGTTTGTTAAGTGACCTAGTCTATACTATTTTGTGATGACAGCCTGAGAAGACCAATACAATGACTCTTAAGATTAACTTCGTTAGCTGGATATGGTGGTTCACACCTCTAGTCCCAGCACTTGGGAAGCTGAGGTAGGAGGATCATGAGTTTGAGGCCAGCCTGTGCTATATAGTGAGTCCCAGGACAGCCTGAGCTACATAGTGTGACACCTTGCCTCAAAAAAATATTATCTTTGGTTTACTCAATATTCCTCCAAGTTATGTGTATCAATAGCATGTTCCTCTTAATTGCTGAGTGATATTACACTGTATGGGTATACCGCAGGTTGTTTATGCATATACCTACTGAAAGACATTTGGGTTGTTTCTAGTTTGAGACTATACAAATAAGGCTGCTATGAACATTCATGCACAGTTTTCTATATGAATTTAAGTTTACATTTCTTGTGGATAAAGACTCAGTACTCAGATTGCTAGATTGTACAGTAAGTAGATGTTTAACAGGAAACTTCCAAACTTTCCCCAAGACTTCACCTTTGTTTTTAATATAATTTATTTAATTATAAGTTTATATAATTTAATTTTTAGTAACACTGTGTTTACCAACTCACAAAATTCCTGAAAATGCATTCCAAGTCAGTACCAACCACATCAAGTACAGCACTGGCAATGTGTTTCTAAAATTTCAAACAGAACCTAAGCAACAGAGAGGTATTTTATTCCTTGCAATAGATTTGACAAGAACATAGACATCACTTGCTATAGAGAGGCAGATCAGCAAGTCTGCTCTGCAACAGAGCTTAGAAAGCAATACAGGAAATGGGAGCGCAACTTGACTGTAGAGTCAAATTTGCACTGCAGATCAATAAGTATCAAGGAAGTACAAAGCAATCAACACTCTCATAAGCTGTGTTAGGTTCTACCCCGCAGAAGTTGCTGGGGCAGTGGTTGGAAGCATGGCTTCTGAGCCAGTCTGTGCACGCTCATCAACTGTATACCTTGGGTAAGTTATTTAATATCTATGCAGTCTCCACAACCTAAACTGAGGATAATAATAGTCCCTTTCTGCAGTTGTGGTAAGATTTAACAAATGAATACATGCAAAACACTCAGAACCATTCTTGCACACAAGAAATGTCCAAGCATTAGCAATTGTTATGTTAGCTGACTTAATTCTCCAAACACCTCTGAGAGGAGGATTAGTGTCTCCACTTGAATTGGTTTTGGTGTTTAAAGCTCAGGAGGTACCAACCAGGTTCTCTGCCTATCACACAATAGCTGCCCCTCTGTTGAAGTTACTTTAGAAATAGGTAAAAAGAATGGGTAGGCAGAGAAGTGAGTTGACTAGGACAGGTTTTGTTTTTGGTTTTTTTTTTTTGTTGTTGTTGTTGTTTTTGAGAACTTGGCTTTATTATTATTTTTTTAAAGATCAGTTAGTACACTAGCTTGAGGTAGTGGAGTCTCAGCAGATACCCTTAAAGAAAAGGCAGTGTCTTTAAAGGACATGTTCCCTAGAAAACATGCAAAAACTGAAAATCTACTTTATCCAACATGATCCCTAGTATTTGGCAAAGACTATTCCAGTGAGAAGATGAGGGAAGGGAGGAAGTCATTTACTTGAGTCCCAAAATTAATTTAAAGAATGTATGACAATGTCCAGTGTGATTACTCTTTCCCTTTAGACAAGTTTATGTATCAAGTTCAATTCTTCTACATTAAAAGCATGGGTCACTGGAAATATGAGGTCTTGAATGCCTTTTTAAGCATATGGCACTTAAATATTACTATGACATAGATCATCACTATTATTACCACCAAGTGCCTAGCAGTTGCTGTTAGCAGAATCTCCTTAATGTTAGCAGTCTCTGATGACAAGCAACCAGCACTCACACAGTTGTTCCAAAGGTCTCTCTGTAAGTGCTTGCTTCTGCAAGTGGAAACAGGCCCTTCCAGACAATGGAAAGAAGGCAAGAAGAGGAAGGAACCCACCATGCATCGGTCTAGATGAAACAAGACTGCTTCTCCAGCTACTCAGGATGCAGAAATTGGGAAGACTGCAGTTCAAGGCCAGCATGGGCAAAAAAGTTAAGAGACCCCATCTCAAACAAGCTGATTGTGGTGATACACATATGCAATCCCAGCCATTTGGGAGTCAAAGGTAGGAGGATCATGGTCTGAGGCCAGCCCTGGGTAAAAATGCAGGACCCTATCCAAAATATAACTAAAACAAAAAAGAGTTGGGACGTGGCTGTAGTAGTATAGCACCTGCCTAGCAAGCACAAGGGCCTTGAGTTCAAACCTCAGTATGCCAAAAAAAAAGAGAAACCTGCTTCCAAACACAAAACAACCCCCAAAGACTCAACTA